TTATTTCTGATCTGTTACATTGTACCAGAAGGCAGCTATCAAGGAATATAGATTCTTTTCCATTCCCAGAAATTTATTGTTAAAAATTCTTTTAAATGCTCTGGTTGTCTCCTAGGTTATATCAGGATGGCTGGTGCTATCATCTTTAATGTTGTTATTCTTCTTTGGCTACATTTATTTCCAGTAAGTCATCCATACTTCACACTCACTTGACCAGCTTTGTTTTTTGTTTTTTTTTTTCCATTAAAGGAATCAATCAGAACTTGTTCCATTGTATAACTTCTTAAACAAGTAATGTAAATAATTGTTGGTATTGGACTTTCAGTTTTATCAATTGTCTAGTAAGTTTTCAAAGCCTATAGCAGATCTTGTTTAATTAAACCTAATTCAATCACCAGTTAGTCTTGACACCCATTGAAAATATCTCTATTTACTGTGTGTTCCTTGCCACACCATTCTGTTTTCCAAAGTTGTCATCTATCCAAGGCTTGTCTGTGTTCTTGGTCAAGGTGCTTTGTATGTCAGTCACAAGACTTTTTTTTAATGTGCAATCATTGTCCTTGTTCTCAACAGAGAGGTGCTGAAGGTGTACAATGTAGCAATGGACTACTTCACATTGTCACTGATACTCTGGAATTTTGGGGTCGTTGGGATGATTTGCATACATTGGAAAGGACCCCTTAGACTACAACAAGCATATCTTATCTTAGTTAGTGCTTTGATGGTAAGCCTCAATTTTTCTAATATTTTGAGATGGTCACTGTTTTTAAAGCATAAAATAAAATGTACCTAGTAAATAACAAGTGACTGGTAACACTTACCGTAATTTCTGGCCGTTTACCTGCACAGCTGATTACCCACACTGGCCGATTATTGCATGCAGCAAAAAAAAACTCAACAGATTACCTGCACTGGTGGATAACCTACACCTTAAAAGCAAAGGAAATTTGTACAAAAATGCTCTAGAATTTACAAGATTTCATACTTGACAGAATGCAAATTTGTGGCCACATTTTGTGTGAATGATCATCGTTCAGCGCCATGTTGATTTGTTGATTTCTCAAAAAAATCATTGTCTCCAGTTCTACTGGGCCTAACAAGTCCTTTAAAACAGGAAAATTCTCTTCAGCTTAAGCTAGTGTTAACTGGAAATTTGTTACTGATGCACCAGTTATCCTTGGTTTATTTTTGTCGCCATCAAAGTTTTGTTTACATGCGTGCTGATAAATTTGTTTGTCGCACAACTAATTGTGCGTGAATAAACTTAAGTCAGCATCATGTTTTCGTGCCGCTTTATGGCATTCTTATTAATACAATAAAATTCATCTGAGAGGTGGAAACACAGGTAGGTGAGAATTTCTTTGATTCAACTGCCAGTAGATTTCAAAATTGTCGCATAACCCACACCTCCCTATTACCCACAGTGGCAGGTGTTTAAGGCAAGAAAATTACGGTATTAGGCTAAAACACACCAAAGCTACATTGTACATTTTGTCCACTTCTGGACACTTTATTCCACAATTGCCACCTTTCTTTACATATCGGATGAGGTTTTCACTTGGAGCAAAGAATGAAAGAATGTGGTGGCCAATCTGAAAGGAATCCTGTAAGATCCCCAATGTTTGACAATTAAAGATGCCCCAGAATATTCTCTTTCAATGAGGCACAAAGCAAGTTTTGCAGACTAAAACATACTAAGGGGTTTCAAAAACATTTTTCATTAATTTAAGCACCTACCAGTGGTGTTACCAGTATTAGGCAGCTGTGTCCAGGAATGGGAGTGTAAGGTAAAACCCAAACAGGTGAAACGGGTGGTGGTAAGTCTTAACAATTCCAGACTGCTGGTAACAACTTTCATATTTCTGTTTTTCATTTAGTGATGCAAAGCTTGTTTTACTTCATAGGCTCTGGTGTTTATCAAATTTTTGCCAGACTGGACTACTTGGGCAATATTAGCAGCTATTTCACTTTATGGTAAGCAGTAACACCCTCTTTTCAGTATAACATTGCTTGTGAAATACCCCTAATAACAATAATAATTATGATGTTCGGTTCTCTTTTTCCCCCATAGATTTGTGTGCTGTTCTATGTCCCAAAGGGCCTTTGAAGATTTTGGTGCAAACTGCACAAGAAAGAGATGAGCCTCTCTTCCCATCACTAATTTACTCCTGTAAGTTTATTGTCTTGCAAGGGTACAGTTCAACATGTAAAACATTGTCTAAAAGTGTTTCTCCAATTAGTGATGCAGGCATATTTTGGAAAAAGAAAAGTTAAATTATTTGTTGCTTTTCCAGCTACCATGATGTGGTCAATTGGTATGGCTGATAGAGACAACAGTGGAGGTGCAAGAGTGACATCAGTCACGCGGGTTAATTCAGAAGACGAAGAAGAATCACTAGAGTCAACTGAAGGGGAAGGACCCACAAATGAGGCTGCAGAAAATGCCATAAGGGCCCTAGGTTCACAAGAGGAACAACAAGAACTAGCAAATGATGGTCAAGATGATGAAGAAGAAGAAAGTAAATTCAATTATTGCATACTTTTGAATATTCGATTATTTAGTGAGATTTTCACAGTAAGCAGAGCTCTGAAAAGAACTGTTGTTGGTGACATTGAATAAGTCATTATCAGAGTCTTGAAGATAATTTACTATTACTTTTGAATCTGTTCATGTAGTACACATAATCTTGATAATAATTGGATAATTCTTGCCTTTTTTGTTGAATGTTTATTTTTTTGTGTGTTGAAAGTATGTGCTTGTGTGAGTGTGCATGCATGTGTGTTTTGCCGCAGTCAAAATGCTTCAGGGTTTTTATTCACATGCGGTGTCCATTCTTCAGAGAGTTCTTCCTCTCGTTTTGACATATTGACCAGTTGTTCAACATAATCAAGCATGATTTCTTCAGGATAAATTTACATGATTATAGTAAAGAAGACGTAAAACACAGAAATTAATGTGTTGTGTTTGTATTGTTTCTTTTTTGCATTAAGAATCATGCATTGTTTAATGATTTACAGTAACTTGTGAAGCAGTCTATTAAATTTGATGTTATTTATTATGATTTTCATCAACAGAGGGTGTAAAACTAGGCCTTGGAGATTTCATATTCTACAGTGTTCTGGTTGGCAAAGCATCCTCCTATAAGGATTGGAACACAACAATTGCTTGCTTTGTAGCTATACTTATAGTGAGTGCTGAAAACTGATTATTCCCTCGTTAATTAATTCCTCTTAATTTCCATGTTGTGAAATCACCTCAGTGATGATTCTGCTCACTGATGTTGGAAAAGTACTGAAAGTACATTTGAAGGAGACCAGTTTTGTATTTTCTTTTTTTTTTTCTTCAAATTCTGATGTCTTGATCTGACTGAGCAGTCAGTGTTAAATTTGGGAAGTTACTAGTATTTAGCATCATAAGCATAGTGCAGAACATTGCTGTAAACCCTCTGAGGGCAGTCTCCTTTCTGTGACAGCTTGATACGGTTGAATTTGTTAGTGTTAAATCAGAGTTTCCCTTGGTCTCTAAACAATGATCTTAGTAATTTTAAACACTTTTAAGACCCCCTCTTGATGCGATGGCTACCAATGCTGTTGATCATCCTCACTATTATCAATAACTGTTTTCATAATCACAAAATCATCTCCAACATTATTACCCTGATCAAGACCATCCCTGACATCAAACACAGAAGCCTTGCTTGGAGGTGTTACAACAAGAATTCTGCAAGAGACTATAATTCTCATTGCTTCCAATTTTTAGTGACATCCATTCTTGGCCCACCTACTGTACCATGTTTATAACTTAAGTGGGAATTATTTCAGCTTTGTTATTCACTTCTTAATAGGCTTTGTTATTTTGTTCCTTGCAGGGCCTGTGCCTAACACTCCTTCTTCTAGCTATCTACAAGAAAGCTCTACCTGCTTTACCAATATCAATTACCTTTGGACTTATTTTCAACTTTGCCACTACTGAGCTGGTTAAACCATTCATGGACAGCTTGTCAAGTCAGCAGGCGTTCATTTGAATATTTGGCACAATAATTATCATAATTATGTTTTGTATTTGAAGCTGAAGAGGAAAATTGCTATTGAACTAGAATTTGCTTATTTTTGGGGGCCATCTATGTAAGTAATAAGGCTGCATTACGTGTATTTCAAACATTTTTTTTAAAAAAAATAGCTGAAAAAAATGAAAAAAGAAACACTGATATATACACATTTTCCTCCATTCGTGATAGAAATTTCATGTAATTGTTTAAGTTGAATTATTTAATATGTACTTATCTTGAACAAAGTTTCATGGACATTGCTCTTAGAATCTTCTGACGAATGGAAATAATGCATCCAGCATCAAAATAATGGATTATTCTGTATTCACGACACAGGTGGTATTTTCTAAAGTAATTATAATGATTAGAATAAAACACACAACAATTTTCCATGATGTTGCCACTATAGGTGTCCTTGTTTTTTCTAAACACCAAACACGTTAGTAAATACACAGCCATTTATGACTAGTTGTTGTACAAAAATCACAATTCTGTTATTGTTGCCAAACATCAATCACGGTCCCTTAATGATTGCATAGTAATCGATGTATACTGGTAGTTTCCAACTGTTGTTATTTTCTCAGTGGTGATCAACATTTTTGCTTCTCCTTGGTTTCCCTTCTTGCTAACTTGATTCCTTATCTTTTATTGCTACTTAAATTTTTGTATTGATGTACAAGTCATAGAATAGTTTTCTTTTACTCCCTTGAACCAATTACATACATATATAAATATAGGTTAATTGACCACTCCCCATAGGGGCTTTTCAGGGCCAACACCCACCCATCCCACCAAGGGAGGACATCCACCACACAGTAATCTCATGCATGGGAAATTAACGTCTCCTACCCCTAACCCTGCAGGAGACGGGGCCTACGGTTTGTTCATCCTTATCCGAGAAGACTAGAATATCTATCCATTTCTTGATTATAGAAAGGTAGCAAATTCTCCTCACTTATTTTAAGACCATCAGTATTGGTCCGGCCAGTGCTTGATTCCTCAACCTCCCGCACAACACAATCTGGCCCTCTAAACAATTGAGCTAACCGGGAGGCGGTTAGTTGTAAGAATTTTGAGAAAGGTTGCCACAGTTGGTTTCCTTTCTGCATTTCCCTTTTTTTACCCTTAAACTCCCAGGATCCACCCTGGATCTGGTTTTTAATTCTCCTGTCTAGCAGTTATGCTAGGTGTTAAATTAGTTATGAGAATTTGGAGTTAAAGTAAGATCACAACTTCTACCTCATAAGTTTGAGTATTCTCCTTAACTGTTTGCTGGATAATGTATGGATATTATAGGGAGAAGTTACATGTTAATCACTTCTGGGAGTAAAAGGGTTAAAAGTAACGAACAAACTTGGTGAAAAAGTTAAATTTTCTTGTAAATACCAAGAAATGAGTTCAAATCAAAAGTTTACTTTAAAGCATTTTGTTTCCTTCAATACATTTCAGCAAGCAGTTAATGCAATGAGAAATTTAACAATGAAACAATTATCATTTTTACAAAAATGAAGAATGGTTCCCCAATAAAGACTACTTTGTCTCCAAAAAAAATCATAATTTTATTTTGTTCTGAAGCATCTCAGCAGGGTGAAATCCTAAATCTTAGAACCCTACTAAAATTTAACTGCTAAGCAGTAAATTGTTGTCCAGGTGCCTAAATGAAATAAAAGTCCACCATCTGACCCAAACGCCCTAAATACATGCCTGTCACCATCAGTTATTTTTCATTTACCAAGTCAATGAGAGTGTTAAAGCTCAGAGAGCCAGTCCCTCATGTAAATACATTTGCTTGGAGATATGGGCCCACCATCGCGACACTGATTGGAGACCTGTTATGGGATGAAATATCAACATCATTGTTAGAGAATCTACCCTTCGGTCTTCAGTCCCAAGGGGAGGATAGTTACCTTTTGGTTTGTTCTTTCCCAATCTTAACACAAAGTAGAGATCCAATACTCTGCTTCTTGTGCCCCTGTTGAACTTAACTCTGAGATTTCCCACCCCCTCCTGCCCACCTTGGGATACATCTGCTTTGGGAGGGATTTAGTTAATGGCAGATCCACTCTCAAGTGGGTGGGGGATTCATGCATTTTTGTTGCCTGTCTGAGGGAATGTGGAGCATTGGTCTGGATTTAATGGAATATATGGAGGCTACTCTTTCCACACACATTTATGGGGATTTATTGTGTTTTGGTTGATGAACAAGTAAGGAACAATAATTATCAGTTCACATCATTCTCAGATGGCCACCAAGATTGTTCAAGGAGTGTTTGACCACCTGTTTGTGATTCATATTGTAACAATTTATGATTATTTATGATTGTTATTATAGACCACTTTCATTAATGGCAGCCGGATTAATATTCTTTTGTTTAAATTTAAATTAGCCCTTCTGGCCTCGTTCTCCAGTACAAAATTCAAAAGAATACATTATCTCAAGCGAGGCCAGAAGGGCTATTAATTTAAATTTAAACAAAAGAATATTAATCCGGCAGCCATTTATGAAAGTGGTCTATAATATTTCTAGACAGGGTAAACCAAGCCTTACTGGACAAACACCGCATGGTGTACTCATGAGTCCTGCTGCTGGCAGCAATGGGGCAAGTGCTCTGTAAAGTTTCTTCTGACCATCTTGCGATGATCTGCTTGAGCTGTTATCAACAACCAGTGACATTTCTGCCTTTCCATCAAAGACTAGCGTGTTTAAAATTGTTTCAATGTCCCCTTCAGCCAGTTGAACCTAACACAGTATTAAAAAAAGTTGACATATAATTATGCTTGGACATCACTTGGGTAGAACAATCTTTTACTTGTTGAATTTTCAAGAATTCCAAGTGATTTTAGTTGGTAATATTTGGTACTACAAAAAGTAAATTTTACCAGCAACCAGGTTACTACTTCAAGAAAAAAAACACTGTTTTTCAATTAAATTTACCTTGCTAATCCCTAATTCAGAGATATACTTCCATACATCATAGCATGATGAATAAGATGCATTCCTCTTGGCCAGTGGATCCACATTCATTTGTTCAGCTTGTAAAGCCTGTAATGAACAAAAATACATTAATTTCAAATTTTCAAAAGAGATACTAGTGACAGATAATAAAAACAATTCCAAGACATCCTCAATTGTAACGCTTGATGGTTAATGTTACTTTGTCAGCAAATTTTTTTTAAAATAAAACTAAAGGCAATTTGGTGCTGTTTTGTTATTTGGTGTTAATTGTTATTTACTGAGGTTTGTTCTTTCAAGGGGTGGGAGTTACAGAAATAAGTATACACAGAAAAACAACACAAATTAGGGTGAAAAAATCAACTTTCAAAGGATGCCTATAAAAAGAGAAGTTTTACCACTGTTGGCTATAATTTTTTACCAACCTGGAGAGGGAAGAGTTGGTGGGGGTATAAACTGATTCCCCCTCCCCCTTGTTAATTTTGCTAACTTGTGCCAGATGACAAATTCTACGCATTGAAGCACATCAACTTTGGGAGCCACATCTTGCTTACTGAGAAGTAATTCTGAGATTATGGAACAGCAACTTTCATACCCTTTGTTCTAGATACTTGTGACACTGTTGATTGAGAACATCCACAAATTCTGATTCAAAATCCTGATCACTGTACCAAGCTCCTCCAGTCACTGTTATATCTGGTTCCAAGTTGAACAACATGTACACTTTCTTCCTGGAGGCCTAAAAAGATGGTCATTAAACCTGAGACAATATCCACAGAAAAAAAAACTCTTTTTATCCTGGTTCTTATCACAAAAGAACTTAAAGAAGATTTTCACTGTTTTTATTTGGGTAAGTTTGTAAATATATGGTCTTCTGTTGACTCACAGACCAATTTTTTTTTTTTGGACTTGTGGCACCAAGAAACACATTAAGTTAATGAATTGTGATGGATATTGTAAAAGAGGTGGGATAAATGAGTACTAATGTGCCAGAAAGACAACTGTCTAAAGCCAGAGATGAGGAGAACAGGCTGCAATCTTGTCTTTCCTCAACTTGTGGGCACAAAGATGTCTGGTAATCACTTTCAATCAAAAACAGTCAATGTAAAGTTTTCTGTTGGGAAATTCAACCATATCAATTTAATCCTTTAACTCCCAGAAGTGATTAACATGTAACTTCTCCCTATAATATCATCATCATCTTTTATTTGCCTTATTTTAACAATGAAAATATTTAATTACAACGATAACAGTTTCAAGGTGAGGAGACCCAAGAAGCCACTGGGCTTATGGGAGAGCCACCTCACTTACAATAATAAATCAAGTAAAGAAAAAGTGCTGCAAATGAGCGGCTTGGCCAATTCAGTGATTATTTATCAAGTAAAAACTCTTGCAATTTCGTCTTAAAGCTGAGAAAGTTTGACGAACGAGTGTCTGAAATAGGGAGAGAGTTCCAAATTTTAGGACCTTGGTAGAGAATTGTAAATTGCTTGAGATTTGTACAGCAAAAATGCATTCCCACCATTATCCAAAAAAAAGTTACAAGAATACCCAGACTTATCAGGCAGAAGTTGTTGTCTTGATCCAACACCAAATTCTCATAGCCAATTGACAACAAAATGTATAGGAGCTAGAGGGGAGAATCAACAAAAGATCTGAGGAGTTAATTAAAGGGTTACAATGGTCATGGATGAAATGAGTGACCCACAAAGAACACAACAAAAATTGTGACATATTAATTTTCAGTGGTTTCAAAATGTTTTGAAGTAGGCGGCCGACTCTGGAAAAGTAAGCGGCTGTGATAATGCTGAGATTGTTTGTCACAAGCAGACTGTTATGACCAGAGTAGCCAGTGACATACAATCAAGTAGCTGGCAGAACTCCAGTGGTCACCGGCTTGTTATGAAACCACTGATTTTACAAACAAAAAAAAAAAAATACTTGTAATACTTACAGCAACTGATTTAATGGCTTTAATGAGCTTCTTACTTTCCAAGTTCTTTACAATCTTGTTGACTTGAGTCATTGGTATATTACTTTTGAATCTAATGTCCCTGATCCAGATTCCTAACAAGTAGTGCCACATAAAACATGACAAAATTTCATGCCCACCAGTGATTAAAAAAGAACTTCTTACAATATCACTAACTTTTAAAGCAGAATGGTTAGGAGTAGAAATAAAAATTGAGACTTGTTCAATCTGACACCAAATTCTCAGAGCTGAAATTATAAGAAATGCTCTGCAGAAAGTGTGGAGAAGTGTGGAGTAATGTTATCTAGATTTTGGAAGAGGTTTAAAAGTGATGTCAAGTGATGTTGCTCTAACCAACTGAGCTAACCACCTCCCAGTTAGCTCAATTGGTTAGAGCTCCGGATTGTGTTGTGCGGGAGGTTGAGGGTTCAAGCCCCGGCCGGACCGATACTCATAGTCTTAAAAAAAGTGAGGAGAATTTGCTACCTTTCTATAATAAAAAATGGATAGATATTCTAGTCTTCTCGGATAAGGACGAATAAACTGTAGGTCCCGTCTCCTGCAGGGTTAGGGGTAGGAGACATTAATTTCCCATGCACGAGATTACTGTGTGGTGGATGTCCTCCCCTGGGTGGGATGGGTGGGTGTTGGCCCTGAGAAGCCCCTATGGGGAGTGGTCAATTAACCTATACGTATATGTATGAGAGATGGCCAGTCCCCTGCTAATGGACATGAGTTAAAAAAAAAACAATCAAAGCTATTTTTATTACATTTTTGATAAAAAGTTAAAACATGCAACAGTATTAATGCATGTACCTTTGTTTTGTGCCTCTTCTATAATCTGATAAACAAGTTTCTCTTCTAATTCAAATCCTTTAGTTTTTCTGTTGAAGAGAGGTCATAATATTAATCTATCAATAAATACCCATTGTATGTCCACTTGATAGTTTGACAGTTTTTATATCAGTCTGTAGTTATCAGGTAATATTTCAGCCTGACAGCAAACTTATTAGCTCATTTACCAAAATGAGCATGGCCATAACTAAAAAATTCTTCCCATCCACCACACTGGAGAAAATCTGAAGAGAAGTTATTTCACTGCATTGTTGTATAATTCTCTTCACACTCTATCTACAAAGTAATATTGACTAAACAAGGAAAAGGGAAATACAGGTATTATATTGAGAACAGCCATTTACAGATCTAGAACACAGGGGAAAAATTCTTGGGTTCTGCAGATCTCGACCTGTTCTCTCTCTATGACTAGACATTCAAAGCTTCTCATCTTCAGGAACTCAACATCTGTTATTGACTCCAAATTTGTTGCCCTACATGGGGTGATCTACAACTTTCTTTGCTGCTGTTATCTAGCCATATTTAATTTGATCTTACCCTTAAGAAATTAAGAAAATGAGAGGCTAAAACTTACGTTGTTGCTTGGGCATCTTTGTATCTGTATAAAAGTTGTGTACCACTTTTAAGAAGTTCAATCCTACCCTACCGCGAAAGAATTGTCGAAAGTTAGAAAAACAAACTTGCTAACATAACGAATTTCTGTGTACTCGTGAGGCTGCGTCATTAATTTCTAATAATTAAGTGTACATTTTACCCAAATATTCGTCTTAGTTTCCTTCGAAATAGTTAAACTATTCAATGTCAAACATGTTTGTTGAAACGAGGAGATAATAAGCATAAATTCTGAAACTCAGCTGAGCGATTCTAGCCAAGACTCACCATTGAGAGAAGTCTGTTTATGGCCGTGACTCTTTGCTGCGGTGGAATATTTGGCATATCCTGCGAAATAATCTGATCTGTTATTCCTTTAGGACTCTCTTTGCAAAGCTGGACAACTCTCTCTTCTAAATCCACGGCATCTACAGCCTCTTGCTTGATAACCACATCGGCAACCGCCATCTTACCTCGGCTCTGTGACCACGCGATGTTTTGGCTTGGAAACCAAGCCATACGCACGTGTAAGCTTCAAATTTTTTATCATTTGAAGGAGCTAGTTTGAGCTCTCATCTAACACCAAGCTGTTTCTGGTTGTGATTGTGTGAGTTACTTGATTACTTGAGTCATATGGAAGAGAACGACTCTTGCACTTGCTCTCTCGAAGAAGCAAGGTCGACCTTTCTTCGCACTCTATTAAAAGTTGACCCCAACGATTCTGAAGATTTTGTTGAATGGGTTATGGAACATTGTTCTAATGCATATACCAGTAAACATTCCGGAGAAACTATTGATGACACTTTGAATTGGGCAGAGAAAAGGTTAAAAAAGATCGCAAAGGACATTAAAAGGATAATTCCACTGCAAGGAGTACTGGACACAGAAAAGATCAGACACCCTGAAGAAGGAAAGGTAAGAGTTCTCTGGAGTAAGAGTGAGCTAAAAGTACCAACAATTTTGTTAAGGGAAAACAAATCTCAGTTTTTATACCTCTCTGTTTGTTATTCACTGCAGGGCCTAGCGTGTCAACCTTCAACCACAGTGCATGTTGACTCATTCTTGTATAGCGATGAAGACATCGATAGACTTTGTGATGAAGGAAAAATGAGTCGTAACTACTGTAAACAATGTGGATCTCACAATACCGCCCCACTAAGTATGTGAGTTATAATACACGACTCGGGAAGTCAGAGGGCCAATAACTAAAATCAACCAATCAAAATGCTCTATTGCCGGTCAATATTCTCTCAGTATTGGACCAGGCACTGTCCCGAATGATACCGCACTTGTGTCCCTTTGAACTTCAGTCGTATAATAAATCTCGTATTAACCAAGCTTGCTCGGGACCGTACTGGAAGAATATCGGCCCTCGTTCTTTTTTGTACAGACCTTGCTGCGCTCAGTCCATACTGTCAAGACCTCGGGCCGATATTCTCCCAGTACGGCCCTCGCACTTGGTTAATAAGATATATATATTTGCTATTAATTATAATTTTTATTGATATTTAACCCTTTGATTCCTAAGTAGCATCTCCTTACCATGGCACTCGTGAACCGCACATCAAGATTTCAAGAATAAAAGAAATGATTACCAACTGAAAAAGCTCTTGATTGTTAAACAAAGTCTCTTTGTCAACTCCTTACAAAATATATGGAAAAAAAAAATTCAAGAATTATTGTTTAGCTAACACCGTGACAAAGCAATACTCATGTTATTGTTGTTACAGTATTTTCTCAACTGTTAGAAAGATACAACTCGTACCAACTCAACTACTTTATTAACTGACGTAATAATCTTATTACGGAGTGATACCAATAACCAATACAATAACTAACCTCTTATCCTAGAGCCCTCTATAAAACTATAACCTCAGTACACTACTGCACAACTCACAGTTCTCTTTAGAGATCCTTGTAACTTATTGACATCCACAGTACTTTTCTCACTGAAGCCTTCCACATGGCTGACGATTCCAATAACAGTAAATAATTGCAACAACTCTCTGTAGTCCGGCTCTGTAATAACACCAGCTCCTCTGGGCTCTTCACGACAGCACTAACTCACTAAAAAAGGTCTAACTTTAACCGATCGCAACTCCTTATATATGTTTTACAAAATGTTCTAGAATATTCTAGAGATCTGTTACAGTAACACAACTGTTTTTAGTATCATTACATTACTATTGCATCATAACAAAATATGCTGACAAAGGGTTCTAGAAAGTTCTATTAAAAGTTCTCAATGAGTCAGCATGACTAAGCATTCTTGAAACTTCTTCATTTCTATTTTTAGCAATTCTGTAATGCAACACACTCTCCATAACATTGTAATGTACTTTTTACAGCTTTCATCTCCCATTCATCGTCACTTGTGCAGTTAAAATTCATATTTGAAGCAGCTCTTCCTTCCATTGCAACAAATCTAGCAGATAGGTTGTTAGTTGATGTTGGCTCCAGACTGGGTGCTGTTCTTTATGGGGCAAGTACTTTCATGTGTTTTGTTTTTATCATTAGATTTATAACTATTCTAAACCAATAATGTTGCAATTACCACAACTTACTGATGTCAGAAACGTACTATGAAAAAATTGTTTGCCAATGACAGAGATCTATATAATTGTAATAAGTATGTGCAAAAAAAAACATTGATTGGTGTAGAAAACATTTAAGGGACCTGTCACCTACTACAGGGGGAGGGCTGGTGTACTGAGCAATAGAGGTTGATTACATTTTGTGCAACCAAAAAGGAGAGGGTCACCAAAAATTTAAGCTTAGGGTGGGGAGGATCATAACTTTTTTGGATCACATGAGAGGGTGGGTGATAATTTTTTCTGCATGAAATTGGGCAAGGGTATGTAAAACTGCAACTGGTTTTTAAAAATTATACCAGCCTCACTCACCCCCCCACATCTAAAAAATAACAGGTTCCAAATTCTGCACTTGTGCTTAGAAGCCCACAGTCTAAGTCTCTGCAGCATGAATCAGTAAGAAGGATCACCACTCCCCCCCCCTGGATGGAATGCTAGTCCATTGCAGGTTACACCCAGCATTTTGTCAGGCTCTGGTGACATTTCAGGGATACCCCATTTATTTACTCCTCGGTGAAAAGAGGCATGTTGAAAGTAGATTATCTTGCCTAAGCACACAGCAGAATTACCCAGCCAGGTCTTGAACTTGAGCCTCTCAACCCCAAGTGCAGCATGCAAACTCTTATCTAGCCACCATGCCTCTCACAAGTATGGTACATAGTTTACATGATTGTATAAAATGTTTTTTTTTTTTGTTGTTGTTTACTCACAGGCTTATCATTTCAGTCCAATAAAGAAGATTGTTGGAGTTGAAATTAACTTGGAGCTGTGCAATTTACAACAAGAAATAACAGAAAAGTACAGAATGCATGATCGGGTTGAGGTGAGTTTGTTGAACTGAAAAGTAATAGGACTGGTAAAGATTGGAATTATTTGCATGCCAGCTTCCAAAAAGGCCATGAGATTCACGGCCCAATCACACCATCAGTTACTTAGTGTTTTACTGTGGAACTGTAATTTTATTTTAGTAATAACAATTGATCATAAATTAGTGAAATTCTTTTCTGAGCACTTCAAATAGAAACTGATCGTCAGAAGCGACCATTGTGTTTTTAAAACAAGGTATTTAGGATAAACTGCTGATGATAAGTGTCATGAGAGTAAAGTTTGTTCTATCCAACATTTTATGGAAACATGATGTGAAATGACAAGTGCTCTTTTTTTATCTAAGATTAGACATGCTGATATTTGTAGTGAGCAATCCCTCATGGAACAAGGTATGACAGTGATCACACTTGTTGAAAAAAATAACTTAAAATTTTTATCACTGATAACTGGGAGTGGAAAGAAAGTATTCTTAGGGAAGTACAGTTGCTGAGCAGCTTTTTTCCAACCCTGCTCACACCACTTTGCCTCTTGCTCTGAATTTTCAATTTTTTTTTTTTTTTTTGCTTAAAGCAAGCAAGGGGTTGTACTGGTCATATGATAGATAATCTTTATCTACTGTCAGGTTTACAAGGCTTACAAATAACAATGTATCTAGCATAAAGTGCTAGACAACAAAATGTTATACACCAAGGTGAAAGTAGATATCCACCACTTTCACCAACTCTGAGGGGAATGATTGTTTTAGTTTAGACTGCAAATATACCAATAAATAAGTTTTAATTATTTCTTTCAAAATGATCCGAAATTAAACTCTTGATGCACAATTTTGTCTCTTTGGCTGCCCATTGGTGAAAAGTACTTGCAATTCACTTCCAAACTAGCCAATCAGCAGGCATGAAATGCATATATTCACTTGTGTGGTATATAGTAAGTAAAGTCTGTTTACGAGCCTAGTGGCCCATTAGGCCGGTGCTTAACTCCGGTTTCTGTAGCATGAAGCGACTAAGAGTATTTCTACTCCCCCCTGGATGGGATGCTAGTCCATTGCAGGGTTACCCCCAGCATTAAATTGCCGGTACCCATTTATACACCTGGGTGGAGAGAGGCACTGTGGGAGTGAAGTGTCTTGCCTAAGAACACAACACAATGTCCTGGCCAGGGCTCGAACCGGGACCACTCGATCCGGAGTCGAGCGCACTAACCATGAGGCTACCACACCTCCACATGTGTGGTATATACTAATTAATAATTATTTACTGAAGTGGAAGTGGATATTTACTGGACGGCAAAGTGGCGAGGTAAATATCCACTGTGAGCCACAGGCACTAAAAGGTGAATAGTTGTCCTAGTATATCCTATAAAGGATGATTTTAACTTATTTATTCCTGCAACAGTAACAATATTTTTTAGTGGAAATTCTGCACAGTCGTTACTTGAAGGTGGAAAGCAAACTAAGGATATTCAGAGTTTGAGTAACCCCCGTTTTAGAATTTACTGTCTAATAGTTATTCTAAACTTTTTTCTGCAGCTGACATTGTGATTCTCAACAATGTGTTTGAGTTTTTTTTATCAACAGATCAGCAAATAAGGTAGGAAAAATTAGAATAATCAATGTTCTTTATCTTTTCAGTTGTATCTAAAACCTAAAAAAAAAGTGTGGGTAACTCCACATCCTTTCCAAAATGTACTGAGAGAACTTCAACTGTGGTAGGAGAAACATTGAGTCATTTTCTTTATGCACAGAACCTGGAAATTCATCAGAGAGCATGTGATAAAACCAGGATGTATTTTAGTCACTGTTCCAAGTCTTGAAGAAGCCACAGTGTTCAACTATAAGGTACATAGTGCTAATTGATATAATTGCTTGTTTTGCAAACCCTTTGGCTTAATTTAGGGGTGTTCATGCTTCTACTGAGACGGGAATGGTTTAGTTGAAACAAATATTTCTGTTCTCTCACTTCCTACAGCCCTGTATTGATGTCAACAGTTGGGTAAAGCCATGTACAGTTAACTATGATGTACCAGAAATTTCTCTTTTAGAAGAAGACTTGGATGAAGTACAGAACATTTTCTTTTATCAAGTGAAATAAAAAAAAATGTATTCTTGTAAGTTCAATAAGTTCGATAACCAGTGTACAAAACATTAATGGTAAACTAAATTAATTTTTTTATTTGGATCTTATGCTTCATGAAATCTACAGTAAATGCTGAACAAGTTAAGTTACCAAAACTTTTGTTTCATTATTTACAATTAGACTTGCTTGGAACATGATTGATGTCTGAATTTGTCAGGTATGGCATATGTACAGCAAAGAATACTAATTCACAACAGATATGTTTGGTAAATGCTTTGAATAGCCTATCGAAATTCCAGATGTCTAAAATTTCATTTGCCCCCAAGTGAGGACATGCACCTCCTAACAAAGTAATAAGTTAGTGCAGAATGATTTGTAATATCCTAATATGAACAAAAATAATTAATTACAAACACTCAAAAATCACCCATTAGCAGAGCTGCATCTTAGAAAATTAAAACAAATAACAGGTAATGAATGCTAGCTATCACTGCAGAATTCACTTTCCACTTTATCTTCATTTGCACTGTGAAAAGTTTAACATTTGATTAGTAATTACATATCAATATTTATTTGTCCTGCAAACTGAAGATGTTATCAAATTTGAATAAGCAAAGCTATATAATAATGAAAAATGGATTGCATGCAGGAAGAGAGTGTGAATACAGTTACCAACAGTGCAGTATGTACAGAATTAATAAATATTGTAACTCAAATCGCACTCCACACAGCTTCTCCCTAAAAAAAAAAACCTATTTATAAAGAAATGATATATAATCTCTCCTTTGGAGGTTCAGACTGCCCTAATGTTTGACAAATCGCCATCATCTTTAATTTTACTGCAACCAGACTCTATTTCAACTACTAGTCTAATTTCATGTTGAACAATGCCAAGTACATTATAGCTCTTCAGAGAAAGGAGAAAAACCTTAAAGCCAGCAAATAACATTTCAACTGAAGAACTAAAAAAAAATCAATTTTAACCACAGCAAACATCTGCTAATTCAAATAAAGACTAAGAAACAACTTCTCCAGAGGCTAATCAACCAGTTTGCCATTACCAAACACATTAATTGATCTACTTAATCTTAGTGGTACCACCGTCTAACCAACATAAGCTGCCTACTCCAACACAACCTTGATAGGCAAAGCCCCTTTTTATCAAGATATAGGAATGGTCTATAATTGCAGCAAAAGCAGCACCCTTGGATGCCACTATGCTGATAGTCTAAGACCCCCATGAAAAACATCCTGTCTACAGCCAAGATGTAGTGATCACTAGACCTTATATGCATCTTAGCAAACTACCAGAAGCATGGAAAAAGTAAAACTCAGTTTATTCCTCAATCTTCTTCCTTCTCCAACTGTCATTCTGTTATTAATCATCCCCCTTTTTTCACCATTTGCCTCTCTTTGCCCAATCTTTAGGAGTCCAGTGTAAACAGGTTGGATCAATGCGAATCTTCCTCTTTACCATGGCTCTTCTATGTCCATCAAGAATTTCTTTGGAAAGATTCAGAATATACTGTCCTTTGTAATAGTGAATGATTCCCAGATGCTGAAGAGTAGAGACAACGTCTTCTTTTCTTATACTTGTCATCTCGCAGATGTCACTATTAAAAGAAAAAGAAAAAAAGTTGATTGAAATCCTGTATGATGTATGGTTGGGAGAACTTTAAATTAACTTAAATGAGAAAGCATCTATGGCTCTCTTACTTGATAGTAATTGCAGGCGGAGTACCATCTTCTCCAGCCTTAAGTGAAACAAGAATTTCCAGAATGGTCTGTGACCAGTAACTGCGGTATGAGAGCAGTCCTAAATCTGAAAGAGGTTTCTCTGGAGTCCCTGTTTTCCCCTCAAACTTTGAAAGCTCGTAACCTGCAGAGATAAAACATGATTGATAATAAGTTTAAAGCAAAAAAAAAATTGTTAAGTTTGAGCACTTGGAAAAGAAGTAAGAATCAGAACCCTATTTCCCAATCTTGCCAGCAGCCTTTCAAATGATTTAATCCATTGACCCCTAAGAGTGACATCTAATTTCTCCTTACAATATTACCCCAGAAACAAACATTAAGGTCAGGAGAATAAAGAAAATGATCACCAAATAAAGGAGCTCTTGATTGTTAAACAAATTCTTCTTGTCAGCATAGTAGGAAATGTATGGAGAACAGTATGGAGATTAGGCATACTGATGCTTGAGTGTAAAGGCTTTACTCACTGAATTCTATAAGGAGCTTGCCATAGCCCATTCTCTGATACTGTGGTAGGGTTAAGATGCAGGCCACATTATAATCCTCTGATGATTCTTTCTCCTGTAAAAATCACACAAATGTTACAAGGTCTACACGATAAAAGAGTGTTAAACCTTTGAATTTTTTTCTATTTGATTTCTTCTGGGCTTTCAACATGACATTTCATGCAGGTGATTTCGCAGTTCAACTTTCCCATCTACAAAACTCTTTTCTTGTGACATGATGCACTGGAATCAAGCTTAAACTGTTACAGTGAAACCTAAACTGTGACCAAATTTTAAACTCAACAACTTCAACATTAAGTTGTGTCCCTTTTAACTTTGCAAGCAAACTCCTGCCTATTTTGATTGCTGCACCATGCCTCAGTTGTTCACCATTCACAAGATAATCCACAGGATGAGTCTCTATCCAGTAGAAAACACAGTATGTTTTGTTACTGCTTATTCACTCAATAGAAATTTATACAAAGGAACAGAGTTACCCACCCTTCAAGCAACTAGGCTGAGATAAGCATTTTCAGGCACACCTTCCATAAAACCAGCCAAAAACAGGTGTACTGTAAAGGATACCTTTAATTTTTGCCCAAAAAATATATGCAAAAGTCCTTGCCTTAGAAAAATATCCCACTATGTGAAAACCAATTGAGTCATATTCAGTCATCACATAAAACAGGAAAGGATCAGTGTCGTAGTACAATGTCTTATGCTCCAAGAACATCTTGGCCAGAAGACACAAATTTTGAGCATAAATCTAGAACAAAAAACATGAACATTAAAATCACAGGTTACACACTCAAATATATATAGCTGAAGAGTTCCCTTGAAAATCCCTTTGTGATATACTCATTTACCTGCCCTTCATAATTGTCTCTCGTTTGGAATTCTTCTATTAGTAACCTTCAATTGCACTAGAGTTCATCATGGTTCATTAGTAACTGTACCAACTTTGTAGGCAAATTATTCCCCCCTCCCTCCCTCCACACCTTTGCCACAATAACAAACCTTAAGGCATAGTATAGTATTGTGAAGTAGGATGTAATTGCTGATGAAAAGGTGCAGAGAAACTTGTCCACCCCTTCCCTATTTTTAGATGTAGCGACAGTGACTTAGTGCACTGGCCTCCAGGGCAAGAGGTCTGGGTTCCAGACCTGGCTGGGTCATAGTGTTGTGTTTTTGGGCAAAACACTTTATCTGAACAGCACCCCTCTCACGTTGCACATAAATGGGTATTGGCAAATTGTCGGAGAAGCTTGATGAAATGCTGGAGGGTAACCTTGCAATGATCCAGCAGGGGGGGGGGTGGATCCCATCCAGGGAGGAGAAGAAATATTTCTTGTCACTTCATGCTAAAGAAACTGCAATTAACTCTTGCTGGGTGGGGGCATTTGTCTCGAGACTTAACCCACTTTCAAATGAAGAGGCTAATATTTGATTTTTATCATTTGACAGGCCCACATCTTAAGTTGGTGAATAAAGTAGCTCATGACACCCTGCAGCCTTAGCCATTACACTTTGTGCATAATTTCAGACATACGAGACAACTGTTCCCCAAATAAGAGAAAACAGAGTTTAAAAAAGTTTTCTCTTTTCCCTGTTAAATAAAGAAGTTGTATGCCCAGAGAGAAATAAAAATACTATACATACCTTGTTCTTTCTTCCATCAATTTCAAAGAAAGATACTGATCCTTTTCTATAAATTTCATTTCCTGGAGGGTGACGCAACTTACACTTTTCCTGTAAGTTAAGGGCAGACAACCATCAAAATAAAGTCACTATGCACTTTTATCCCTATCACATAGATCTAGAAAATCTCCCATTGCACGTCCCTGGAATGGTGATAGAAAGGGGAGAAATGATGAAGTCAGAATTATTATTGTTATCACTAATATTATCAAATTATTATTCTCCAATTGGAATTTTGAATTTTTGAAGATATATTTTGAAAGATTTATATTTCAAACTGTTTGGCAATGCCTTTAGAAACAAAGGGCTAAGTATTGTGATTAATAAATGCACTCATTGGAAATCCTTTGCACAAAAATAATTTTTTCCTTCCATACCTTGTGTCTTTTTAGACAGTGGAAGCTCTTGATGTATTTCAGGCAAAATTCCCAAAGGTAAACAACAGATTCCAGTGTGAGTTCTTGTGGGTATGGTGAGAAATACCAAGGTTTAATTCGAAATTTACCCAGTTGAACCATTTTGATGTTTTTCATTCTTGTTACAATATCATCATGGCTACGATCTTGGACCATACTTCCTGTCTGCCGCATACTTCCTGTCTTAGGTGGGGTGCTTGGTAAGTCTTTTGGACTATCTTGTGAATCAATCTAGTAGAAAAAAAAAAGGGAGAGTTTTATGATGTAGCAATTTTCAAACAATGTTAAAGGATTGAACTTTTTTTGGCTGTTCTTGAAAACTCCTGCCACCTTAAAACCTAATCAAAGGTGACTTTAAAATCAATGACCACTTAGTCACCTTTTACCTTCCTATACCTGACATATACATTTTATGCATTTCATTTTTCTTCCCCTTTTCTTTTTGTGAAATGTGTAGCAGCTAAAGGGGAGCAATCAACAATCAAATCTTGGGAGTTAAAGGGTTAATTTTTCCTTGGCTCCTATACTAAAGTTCACTTTCAAGTTTGATCTGATGAACCAATTTGATTACTTTGGTTCAGGTTTCACGACAGTAAATAAGAAGTACTCTGCTCATTAAAGCAGGAGTGTCCATGTATCACCCAAAACCAGTGTTGATGAACTTCTGCACATTGATTTAGGCAATAATATCAACTATTAACATTCCTATCATCTACATAAAATCTTGGTTAACACCACATCCTCAAGACAAAGCAATTTCCACTACAGTTAAGGACCAGATCTACTTATCTCCAGAGCTCCCAATAATACAGTAGGAGTTCATCCTTCTACTTTTAAGATCTCAATAGTAATTTTCCTTATTCTCTGCCATACAATTTTCATGATGTAAGTTCAGAGAATTTGGTATTAGATCAACTGATTAACCCCTGATTGATATTCTTCTTTATTCTCATCCCTTGTCTCCTTGATATTGCATTGATATGGTAAGGAGAAATTCTCTCTTGATCACTCATGGTAGTTAGAGAGTTAATAAAAAGAATGAAATTTTAACACTTCTCCTTTCTGTACTGTTTTACCTCGTCACTAGACTTATCCATGGCATTAGCTTTTCTTTTACGCCCCACTGGTGCCTTAGGTCGTCCAGACCCCACACCATTCACCAGTTCCCTGTCAGGTGAACAAGGCCTTGAACCAGCTCCTTTATTAATTTTCTTAGTGTCCTCTTTCTTTGGCATTTGAAGCCTGTTCAGATCCAGTCGCTCTTCTTCAACCCATTCATCAAGCCTTTTGTTGACTAAAAAGCACAAAAAGTTAGTATAACAAGAGATTCTTGTATACCAAAAGCTTAGGAGTCATAAGCAGTAGTTAATTTTGCAGTTGAAAAAGAATGGCAGTTGTAAGTAGAAGAAGTTGATGTGTCTACATCATATTTGTCCTGATCTTAATTTTAATTTAAGTCATACTTCGGTGAAAACAGAAAAATTAAGCCTTGAACTAAATTAGGAAAAAAGAAACCCTCTATACCTTTGATTAACATTCTACTTCAAATTTGAATGTGAAAGTTTTATTTTTCAAGGACCTTGTCCTGGTTCAATCATCTACTTCAAGTACTAAATAATCTCCATTTGGTCTACATGGTCTAACTAATCTCTATTTAAGGTGATTCCTCAGTATTGCATTGTGTATCCTGTACTGCGCATAAAAGTCAAGTAATCAGGCAAATAAGCAAGTGCAAATTCTGAGAACATGGTATTGTTTTTCAATCAATTGACCAGGCAAAGAGGTACGATGGTCTTTAATTCTTGAACAAGCATGGTGACCTGTATTTTTTATTGCATATTTTTCATGTACAAATTGTCCCCCTCAAATTGGAGAAATTAAAAAAAAATTCATCGGTGGGAAAAAAAGACATAGCTTTAAGTAAGCATGAAACCTGTTACATGATGATGCAAATTTTGGCCTTGAAAGAAACAACTCAAGTAACATCTTCAGTCAATGTCAAATAAAAATTACGTTATTTTTTCACAAATTATATGTCAAATTGTTCTGTGCATTCAAGACTTTCTACCTATCAAGTATTTTCAAGTGTAGGCTTAAAGACTCTTGCTCCTAGCTACTGCAGAATACACCATGAACAGATGAAATGACATGCTTGATTAGTACCAGTACAGGCATGAATGGGGAAAGATTGGCCCATCAAATCTCTTAACAAGCAGTGTGGCCCATCTTTTTTATTGTATATTTTGAAACAAACATTGGTAGTGAACATCTAAGGAAGCTTAAAAAAAATGTTTGACAATTTTTTTTTTCCTGAGGAATCACCTTCACACGCCACGCGGACCTATCTTTGGGGAAGCAAGGAGTTATGGGATTGAAAATCCTCTATCCGCCATCTTGAATTTTCAAAGATAAGAAATTTCAAAATTATTTAACTTTAAACAGCCAGTTCTTTACATGAATAAATAAAAAGTAAATTCGGCAAAACACTTCAATGGCACCTAACGATATCGAGTCCTCCCCTGCTCGTAAAAGAATTCAAAAGTCCTTTTCACTCAAGGGGCAAGGAGCCCGCGAAAATATGCTACAGCTTTTTAAAACAATACACAAATTATTTCGTACTCACAGTCGATATAATGCACATAATAATGAGTAGAACCACTCGGCAATTCTTTCTTGCTGAGTATTTCAGCCAAAGCTATGGAAAAAAAGGTAGGCTGTAAGCATAAGAACAATACTTTCGGCCCTACTTACAGCTACACTTTCACTTCTAAAGAAATTAATTTACTTACGCCATTCGTCAGAACCACTCATTTTTACCGGCATTCTACAACCCTCTAACACCTCCATCTACAAGAAAAAAACAATTTTTAAGATCATTTGAAGGGTGATCGATTCAGTAGACATGTGAAATATTAATCTTTCTGTACCGAAGTTTCACCGTTTGCCTCCGCCATCTTTGATTCCTAGCTTGTCGCCATTACTATACGACAATGTCTAACAACGAACTTTTCCGTTGAATCATCGAACGAACGAACATGGCCGATATTATATCGATCGATTGTTTCACCGCTGAGTTAGGCTCAGGCTTCCACGGTCACTGTTGGGTTTTTATCACCAAATCCTGATGTCGAGCCCTAAAGCAAAAGGTTCGAGCTTCTTTGCTGCCGTGATTAGGCCTGTGCTGGAAATTTGCCCACTAGAATGCCAAAAAGTTGCTAAGAAATGCCAAAATCCAAAAGTTACTGCCTAAATTTCAAAAGTTGCTACCTTGTTACTTTTATAAAAACGTTGATTAAGGCTTTATTTTTCGTTATTCACAAAAATAACCAACAACAGTCAAGGAAAATAGCTTGAAAGTAGGCTCTAAAGAATTGCTTGCAAATATGGCCGATATTTAAGGATTCAAGACTAATGACGGAACAAAACACAAGATTCGTTTTACGTCCTGCCGAACGTCATTTTTAGTTAGAATATTGGATAAAGATCGCAATAGGCTTGCGAAACGTTGTCAAGCGTGGTTACGCGTCAATCTCTTCTTTTTTAATGAAATCGTCGACTTTTTCGTGCTTGATATGTGCTCTAAACCTATATTTTGCTCAAAAATTGCTCAGAAGGGCAAAAATTGCTCGAAGTCGGCTCCAAACATCAAAAGTAATTAGTTGCTAAAAAGTTGCCGAGCACAATCGGGACAAGCCTAGTCGCGATCGCCCTTCAAGTTGTGTTGAAATAGGGTTTATTTTTGGAAGGGGGAAGATAGACTTAGAATCGCTCCTCAAAATGTTATCTATTCTGCGGTTTTCAGAACAGCGAAAATCTCTACAATAGGTCGTGGAAGAGACAATACCGTTTAATTTCTTAATTACCTGGTGAATAGCTTTCAATTCACAAACAAATTATTTATCTTAAATATCGATGATATTTGCTCTGGGAATCCAGAATAATTTCTTTAAGATGTGCTTTTACACGTCTCCAGCGTTCCTTTGAGGTGCGTGACAAGAGTCACGCACTAAAATACTCGAGTCAAAAGTTGAGAAGTTGATTTGATTTACATTTGAACCTATTTCCTCATAGAAATAATTCAATTGCACTCGAAGAAAATTTCTCTCTGTCAACCTAAGTAAGAAAGATATTTTTTAAACGATTTTTGTCATTGTAAAAGTCTATAAATTTAGTTTGGAAACTACAAGTCCGAACTTGCAGACTTATGCTAAACGGAAATGACATCATACGCTAATTTTGCTGACTTACAACGCGATAATAATAAATGCAGTGAGGGCTATTTAAGTCATGGACCTGCTTTGTCATACAGAAGCAATTGCATATGACTTACAACCATGTTCAAAACGGGGCATTTTATCATCCTCAACTAGTACTAAAATTTCCAACGCCTATAGGGCAGTGAATTAAGTAAAATCTACGGAACAAAAAAATATCATCTCTAATGTCTTCTGTCGTCGAAGCTGACATACGCTGGAAGAGACGGAGAACTTGCGAGTCTAAAATGATCAGTCTCAGAGAACTTTGCAGGGCTGTGATTATCAAAAACACCGGATTGCGGCGACTTCGAAAAGCGCGTAAAAAACTGCCTTTACCGCAACATTTAATCGACTTTTTGACATCGGATTTCAGCTTCCGAGAGTTCGAGGCACAAAACTTGAATCTCTCCAGAGATATGCGGGTTCATTGTATTTATCCAACCAGGAGTTTGCTGGATAATTCTAAGGTTCTACTCAAGTGCATCAGCACCAAGACTTTCAACTCTACAAATTCTTCGCGTCTCCTTAAGAGATGGGCCGAAATACGCCACAAGAACATTATGCAGGTACTGGTTTTGTTCAGGGAACGAGAAACTATAGGAGTCGTCCTGGAGCCATTTTCACCGAGTCTTTACGATCTGGTCCACGAATATCGCAAAGCAGGAGTGACATTTTCCGAGGGACTTTTGTGGAAGATGTTGCATCAAATCTGCGATGCCTTGTGGTATTTACAGAGACGTCAGATTGTGCACACGGAAATCCAAAGCAAGACATTGTCTCTTTCGAAATCAGGAGATATTTTGCTCCACAATCTCCTCATTTACACTCCTAGTGAAACAGAGCTTAATGTATGCGTTGATGGTAAAGATTCCTTTTACGGAATCTATGTTGCCCCGGAGAGAATTCGAGGAGAGAGATATTCGAGCAAACAAGATGCTTGGGCGCTGGGATGCGTCGCGTTCGAAATGGTTTTCTTGGAACCAGCGTTTCCGCTTCGACCAGGTGAAAATATTTTTGAAACTTTGAATAACATCGTTCACGGGGTTCCACCCGCGACACTTAATGAAGCAGATAATAAATCATGCGGCTCCTGCATAGAGAATTTGATTCGTTCTTGTTTGATGCCCGAGCCAAGGTTGAGACCGTCAATCGAAGATGCATTTCATTTTACGAGGGAGCAAACACGACCAAATTAGACAAGTATTTCACGAAAATAATTCCTTCGCGCTTGACTAGCTAGGCAAATATATTTGCAAATGATGCTGTTTCAGTTCTGTATCAGCTGGAATGCTGATATTCCATTTGTTTTTAATAACGGAAGAACACGTAATTATTTTAACCACAAATGTGGGCAGTAGTTGAGAATTCAGCTACAAGTGCAGTTTACAGGTGACACAACTAACGTCATGTCACACAACATCATTAGTTCACCATCGTGACTTTCAGAGTCACGGTTAAACCAAGTTTAGAAATTACTGTTAGGGCGTAGTTGGTGCAATGCTTGCCAAACCAAGATTGTCGGCACCTGCTTTTTGGCCACAGAAGTCCTTATAGTTAAAAGAATACTTTTTCGCGGTGTGTTTCAAAACTGTAAGTAGTTTACAAACGCAGGGTTTTCTGGTACATTCTTTCAAGTCAAAAGTTTTCCACAGATTCTGCGTTATCTGTATTTCTAAATTTTTGAAGGATAGATAATTAATTAGTTTTGAAAATCAGTTAACTAATAGTGGATGAAAATATTGCTGTTTTTTAGTAGCTGTGGTTCGAATTGTACTCTCATAAAAATGTTATCTTTCACGCTGGCGGGATTCATTTCAGAAGAGGCCAATAACCATTTTTCGCTTATACCCATCAGATTTTTAAAATTTGTACCCAGAAAATATTTAGGAAGTTAAAAACCATTTGCAATTAATTTTGTATAAATATTTTGGGACAAATACAAAACTTTAGCGATCAATGTTAAAGTGATAAACTTTCAGTTGTGGATGGGGCTAAAAGAATGTTAAAGCGCAGAAATAGTTTGCTATATCCTTACAATTTTTGCGAGTCGAACAACCAGTTTTCCTACAGAGTTACGCATTTTTGTTAGCTAGGTCGTTCGTATTGACGAAGGGCTAGCCTGAGGAAACCCCCAGAGAGCCTGATCCTCAGGCTAACGAAGGGCTAACACTCGAAACGCCTTAAAAGCTATTTAGTGGCCAATTTACATTTATCAACTCAAAAGATAAAATTGAATTATCTCGTGATACCCCACCGACGCAGCACTACAGTTTCTGTAGAAACTTATCACCTTTACTAAAATAAACCTTATTTGAATAATCGCCGCCAGAACTTTCATCTCATCCTTTTCAGACTTATATGTAAATAAGATTCACCTCAGTTCTATATATAACTATTGCTAGTTCGCGATTACTTAAGCGTGACATTTTTTATATTATGAAATCCAGTCATGAAAACTTCATTCAACGCTCGTTTGTCAATAAAATATCATCTTTTCAGCTTCTTGTTGTGGTAAGTTTGTTAGTACAGACTAATGATGCCATTCTGCGTCTGGGAAATTTCAATCTGTCTCCATCAAATTGGACCGATTCCTTTTAGGAACCCTTCCACCTTAGTTAGTAAGATAGACACTTCGTGCATCTCCGTGCAGTAATTGTTGCGCGTATTTTTCATTTGTTATGAAAGCAGCGCTATCGTAAGCCTGCCTCAGGCTTTGCACACTTGTCCTCCTCAATTCTCTATTCAGAATCTCTCCGCCGTTCTACTTGCTACCGATCTCATGTTGCCGTAAACTTTTGACGGTGGACTCCCTGGAAAGAGACAACAGAACAATTTAACCCAAGAAGTGATTAACATGTAACTTCCCTTACGTTATCCAGTAAACAGGTAATGAGAATCCTCAAACTCATCAGACGAAGTTATCTTGATCTAACACCAATTTCTCGTAACCCATTAACCAGGAAACTTTTAGCAGCTACAGAGGAGAATTGCCAATCTTGGAGGTTTTGAGGCTAAAAGGAAACAAAGGTTACATTGGTTTTGGTTCACTCCACAGACGGCTTGCTCTCTCAACCAATCAGAGGCAAGTAGGACCAGTCGCGACTTGATTTCTCGCGTAAACCCGTGCTACCGACAGTTTGCTCGCGTTTCTGTAGAGTTTTTATCGACTCCTTGTGGGAATTTTTTTAATCTCTCTTTCTGATTGGCCATTGTGATTACTGTATTTTTGGTCACAGTATCCAGTCTAAAAGGCGTCTAAAAACTCAGGGTCTAATTGTTGTGTAAATATCGAAATAAGAACACTGTGATCTACAATGATGACCAAAAGATCAAAACCTACCTAAAATCAAACTGCATATTGCCGTTCTGGCAATTTTGATATTCTGAAACGATCCTAATATGTGGATTTTTCTGAAATAAGAAAATTTAAACAATTTAAATCATTACATGAAACCAAACACTGGTTGCCAAATCGGTAACTTTGGCAGCAAGTTAAGTCGCCAAAAATTTTTCAAGTCACCATGGCAACCAAAATAGCCACATGTTGGAGCACTGGATGTACTCTTGTAGTCATGGAGACCACAAGGCTTATGATGTTTTAACACTTGATCCTGATGGGACTAAGTCCAGTGAGGCTGAATATAACAATGAAAAGACTTACGAGTCAGCCAGGATGATTCTGGTCTTGGATACATTTTCTATGGTGAACTTTGTCCTGCCTCCTTTTCCGGCAATGCGCCCAATGGCTCTTGAAAGGTGATCTCCCTTCAGGGGCTTAACTGTTGACAGAGAAAAAAGCATGTGATTAAAATTACACAAGGTTCATGAAGTTATGTTTCCTTAACGTAGTATTAACCCACTTGACCCGCTTCCATTTACTTTATCTTTGCTCATTCTTGAGGGAAGGATTAGTTTAGTTTAGTTAATTAGCTTCGCCAACCGGCAGGGACACCGCAACAGCTTGCGCCAATTACTGCGGGCCCAGTGAACCCACCCATCCCACCCCAGGGGAGGACATCCATCACACAGTAATCTCATGCGTGGGAAATTAACATGCATCAAAAGACCCAAAGAAACCAAAATTATCTCATATGTTTCCCATCTGTTTCCTGTTATCTTCATAAAAATTAACAAATGGTAAAAACCACAGCATACACTATTGAGTTATGGATGCACGCGGGAGGTTGCTAAGCATGAAAGAAGCATAAGAGTCGCCAAGAGCGACTCTAGCTTCTTGAGTGCTTAGCAAACCTCCCAAGTGCATGCATAACTCAATAGTGTACGCTGTGGTGATTACCATTTGTTTTATAACATAACATTGATACATTGTAGCTAAAGAGTTCCCTTTTATTTGACAAATCTTACGAGACCAGAAAAACAAGCGCGCACAGAAAAATAGTCTTTGCATTTGCTCACATCAGCAGCGTACACCCATGCGCAAATGGGGGATGCTAAATTGACCAATCAGAGCGCGCGCTTTACTTTGGTTATGTTATAATAATTGCTACAGACCAATGATAACAATTTTGAGTGAACCTACATACCATCAGCTATCTCAAATGTCTCCAAAAACAGGTCATCTAACCTGACCAAGGCCAAAGCATCCTGCAAGTAAAATATTCAGATAAAGACTTCAGTTATGAAAGACTTTAACTAGCTAATTCACAAATATTCACTGAAGTAGAATGGCTAAAGGGAGATTTTTAGCAAGCCTACAAGCCAGTGCTCAAAATAATGGCTGATCAACAGACAATGTCCCTTCAAATATATGTTTTGTTTGGCCAACTCCTTTGTTAGGCTCGATTACCAGCCACTGTTCAGGAACCGGAGCCCGAACTCCTCCCTGATGGGTCTGGACTTGAGTTGGGGGATCCTAAGGGAGTGAGGATAATGCACCAAGAGTGCAAACATCCCACACCCACCCTACTTAATAGTGTTGGAGTTGGAGTTTACTTCCTCTCCCAAGTGGTTCTCAGGATGCGTTATTGCTGTCACAGAGTCTCCACAGACACCTGAGCCCACTGTCAAGAAGACCAGCTGTGCATCAGACATGACAGAAGACTCTCACAATTAGCATGGCAGAAGTCATCATCAAACCACCAGTGATCAAAAGCCAAATTCTCAAAAAAAAGGCGATGAAATTTTGTCCCAAACGTCACGAAAATGATTAAATTCAAGACAAATGATGAGACAATGAACTCACCTCAACTTCAAATCCAAGTAGAAAAGCTTGAACAAAATCTGCAGCTTTCTGAATGGCACCGATATCCTGAGTGTCTTTTGAGGTCTGTGACATGAGGTATCAAACTTAGAACGAATTACGGTCTTTTCGTCCAAGTCTTTTCATCCAAAAGTACTTTCACCTAAATCTGTTCGTTTACTTCTCAAGTCTTTTCTTGAAGCAAATAAATAACTTTTAGAAGGCTAGATAAGGGTATATAAAGAACTTGTTGTGAGCCGCTGCCATTTGGGTATGTCGGACACGTAGTGATGTTACACTTCGTTGCCTTTTACGCTCAATAGACGCTTAACAAAAAGCCTAATATTCCCATTTCTTTCGCGTGAAATAATTAAATGGCAAGCAAGTCTTTATTTTTGCTACTGTTTAATAAAATATATTGGGTTACAACTTCATTCATTCTCTGTGTATTAAATTCATGACTGTGAATTCGTAAAAGGAAGATAGGTGAACCAAAAGGGCAATGGCTCGCACTGATAAGTTCTTTATATAGCCTTATCTATGATATAATATCATATAATAGTTATTTACTTGCTTCGAGAAATGACTTAACAAGTAAACGAACAGACTTAGGTAAAAATACTTTTGGATGAAAAGACTTGGACGAAAAGACTTTCTGACGAAGAGACTCTTGGACAAAAAGACCAGACACCGTTAGAACAGTCCTCATGCAATCTATCTGGTCAATAGGCCATTTTACAGTTGTGTACTTAGTTGCCAAGCCTATGATTCAGAGTGAGGCTAAAGATGACCTTGTTGTGATAGAGACCTGTATCTAGTTAGCATGATAACAAAGTGATTTACATTTGAAAGGCAGCAAGGTTTGTATCATAACAAGGTCATCTCTAGCCTCACTCCCGTTCAAAGGCTTGGCAACCAAGCACACAACTGTAAAATGGACTATTCGCTACGGAGTAGTGAATCATCGAGTTGAAATTATGCCCTCATCTCAAAGCAAAGAAGTCGTCCTCAGAAATTTGCGATACACCTTCTATCAAAAGTACATTTGTAAGATATCTCATAAAAAGTAAAAATCTTACCCTAATTTCTACTTTTCTTGCGCTCAAATTAAAACGAATCTGTAGCTTTAACTGCTCGACAATTGGAGTGAAAATTTTCATCCAGCTTTCTTTCAGAGGTGTATATCTGTGTGGCGGAACAGGTATTTTTCTAGTCTCCGTCTTTCCACCCTACAAAGGGAAAGTATCCGGCAGTTTGTATCAAACCTCAAGACTCCAATTGTAAGAAGATGAACGTCATCAAAGTTTACCATTAATTTTTCGGCTTTGGCTGGCGGAAAGCTTGGTCTCTTCGGTTCTTCGCTAGTATCCATGTCTTCTTCTTGTTGTCTCTTCCGTTTTCTTTTCACTGGAACGGCCTTAAAAGGCTCATCTTCAGTTGCTTCGCCGGTCATCTTTTCGGTCGATCCTTCCGCCATTTTTTTTGCGCACGTGTGTCGCAATCGCATGCAATACATTTCGTTCCCAGGCCTTCAGCCCGAGACCCGTCCTATTCCCAAGCCTCACTCAAATTCGTAGCGGTTCCATCCGTCGCAAGTAAAAGCATATTTTGTTTCCCCTTCTAAGAGAACAGCCTGCGAATTTTGCAGATATAGACAATATTTCGCTTTGATTCGAGATGAAAAAAATACTCAAGATAACTTGTTCATTGTTGACTGATGAAGATTTTAGGATGTTAGTTCAGTAGAGCTTAAAAAAAATGCACACCAATCAATACATTGAAGACAATCCTTTACGCTAGAAGGTTCCCACATTTCGTGAAGCAGTCAATAAAAGGAGCATGGAATAACTCAGCTTGTGGTCATACCAATAATGCTGTGCTTTCTTGCTCATTAATTAACTTTCTGCTGCTTAAAAATTGCAAATTTGGTTCTCAGCAAAATTTTCATCAATCCATCTCTCCCACCCAAAAAAAGTTTGCCCATCAGTAAAAAAATATCACTGTGAAGTTTTCATATAACTCATTATTATATGGCTGTATCTCACAAGGACTGGGAACTACCAAATTCACGAATTTGATTGGCTGAAATCAACATTGAAAGCGGTCTAGATTTTCCCATCTAGACCGGCATCAAGACCGGTCTAGAAAAAAAAGGTACAAAGAATATAAAAAATTGGCACATAAGACGCAGCCATATAATAAACATCTTATTAACTGAGCTAGGTCGGTCTGTATGTGAGAATCTTGACTTCGGTCACTGGTACAGACCTCACTGCGTTCAGTCTGTACTGGCGACCTCAGTCAAGATTCTCCCATATGGTCCTCCCGCTCAGTTAATAAGAACTAAGTATCATAAGCCCTTTTCACACACTACTTTTGCATTGTGAGGGATCCACGACGTAATATCCGAGGTAACACACCTTAATTACAAAGATAAAATCAAACCACAATGTTTACAACAATACTAATATCTCACACTTCTATAGCAACTGGATCAAAAGAATTTATTAAGAACTTCACAAAATACAAAGTTGAATCAAAATAGAAAAAAAGCTCATTATTAGCAGTGAGCTACCTGACCACTATGTGACTTTCACACTATCGTCAAACAATAAATAAGTATAGATTTTCAGACTATAGATAGTAATAATAATTATTGTGGAATATATTATTTTTTCAGAAAAACATCTTTATTGCTCTTGTTTGTGCAAATTGATTAAATTCCCCCATACTTTATATCTATACCCACAAAATATCTTTCAACAAATTTTTTTAAACACAATTTCATCAAGTTTAAATACATTTCAAAGCTATGAAGTAAGATAATTTATTGCTTTAGTTTCCAGTGAATAAATGTTGTTCACAATAGCAAAAATTCAATTTCAATTTTTACTATACACCTTGATTTTGAGTGTTATTGTTCATATATTAACTTCATGCACAGCTAATAGTGTTACAGCAAAAAAAAAATGAAAAAAAGGGCTTAGAAATCTAAAGGCTGATAACAAAATTGAGGCTGGCTCTGTTATCTAGGCCGGCTAGATATCTCAAGGTGACTTTCATCAAGGTATTGCCTATAGTGATGTGCCTTTTCAATCCCAATGAGGAATTTTCCTTACAATCTCAATAGAATTTTAGGCAGATCAGTGATAACAAGAAAGAAAAGGATCAACTGAGAGGCATTGTTTCTTTTTTAACACAAATTATCAGAGTTAAAATTGTAACACATTTTTTTTTTTTTGCAGACAGTACAAAGAAATGATATTTGGTCATTAGCCATAAAAAGATAAGGCCCAAAGGCATATAAAAATTACATGATAATTTAGTTTCAAGTAAGTGTTATTGAACTGCAAGGCATACAATAATGTTCAATAGGTCACACCTGCCTACCAAGTCAGCCTGGCTCAAGTATCTGCCCCAAAGTGAATTCCCCCCCCCCTCCCTTCTCTCACTACCCTACCTATGAATGTCAAGGGAGCAAAAATAATTAACTTATTTACCTAAGGTTAGGTGAATACTGTGAAATTTTAATTTAACACTATTCACTGAGTATGAAGGTAAAAAATAATTATTCTGAACATTAAAAACTGTAGTTTAAGTATAATTACTTATTTATCTTAACAGAAGTTTCTTTTTTTTTCCTTTTTCAGGAATAAGAAAGAAATAACAGGGAAGCTCTTGTGAAAATAAGTGCTTTGGTATGGCAGTCACCTCACACAAGGTGATTGTGGTCAGAAGTTTTCTTCATCCTTTCCAATTTAAAATATACTCATGTCTAATATCATCCGCAGTGAGAAATAAACAATTATAATTCCTGAAATCATCATTTCTATGAAATCAAGACCAGATAACCTTTTAACAAGAAAAAAAGGACTTATGCTGCAGCCACTGTATGTATAACTAAGCCAACTTGCTATTTCGTGCTTGTAACAGTACATTGTATTCTTGGTTCCCCTTCAACTCCCAAAGTCTGATATTTGTTAATTCTCCCCTCTAACTGCTACACATTTCCTCAAAAATTAGTGATAAGAATTTGGTGCTACATCAGGTAACAACTTCTACCTGATAAGTCTGAGTATTCTCATCACCTATTTGCTGGATAATGTATGGATATTACAGGGAGAAGTCACATTTTGATCACTTCTGGGAGTTGAAGGGTTACTACTTACGAACAAAGGCGGATCTTAGCAGGAAGTATCACGCAAATTGCACATTACATTTGCAAAATCTATGAATTTACTTACACCTACCAATTTGACTCTTTGAGCTCATAGGAAAAAATTTAACTCTACAGAGCCAATACATTAAATTCTGAAAAAAAAAAATGTTTTGGGAACAATGATAAAGCCACATTCTTTAAAAATTTGCCCTATTACCAGCGCTTTTCTTGGTGGACCAGCCACATTTCAAAAAAGCCAGTGAACAGAGTACTACTTGGGGTTCCAGTGCCAGGGGGGTGAGGTCACAAGAATGAGCCTGCTCAACCTCATGACCTTGCCTTTCATATGGGCCACCTCAAAAGTAAACTTACTGACAGGCTTTAAGCGAAAAGGAACAAAAATTTTTAGTATGCAAATAACCATCAAAAAATATATATGGCATAAGGGCCACCTCAAAAGTAATCTTATTGACAGGCTTTAAGCAAAAAGGAACAAAAATGTTTAGTATGCGAATAACCATCAAAAAACATATCTGGCATATGGACCACCTCAAAAGTAAACTTACTGAGAGGCTTTAAGCGAAAAGGAACAAACACTTTTAGTATGCGAATAACCATCAAAAAACATATACTGCATGAGTAGCAGTGTAGTAATGTCAACTATCTTCAGTTAATAATAGTTTATGATTAACTGCTAATTGTGAGTTCACTCCAATCCCCAGAGGGATTTCAAAGTGGGATCTTAAGGCTTGGTAACAAGATGCTATGACGAGTCTATGAGGCAAGCTTAAGCCATTTCATTGCTATGAACAGTGTTCAACTTCAAAAACCAGTTTGAATTTGCATTAAACTTGCAGCTGTATCAAAATTGTGTCACTGGGACCAAGACTTTCACTAAAATTCAACACATCAAATGAAGCCACTTGTCACTGCAATGTTTCCTCATAACATATTGTCACAAGCTATAGCCTAAAGGATACCTAGGAGATCACGAAACAATTTAAAACTCCCTAATTAAGATCTATGAGTTTTCTTGCATTATGGGACATGTTCAAGTAACTTTTATAGCCAGTGCAAAATATTCTGACAGCTGGCAGGTTTCCACTGCATAATGGCTTCAAATAACAACCCTGTCACACAATTTAATGCACACTATGCAATCCAAATTCTCACTACATCCTAACATACACACAAAAAGAGAAAAAAATTATTTCAAAATCAGTTAGAACCTGTCTTCTCCCTTTTTGAATTCCTTAATTTCTTTGAAAAGATAATCACCTTTGGATTCTGTGGATCTTCTTTCGAGACATGCAAGTCAACTTTGTCACCCTGCGCTACAATGTACTCCATCAAGGCGTGACTGCGTGCTGATGTAAAAGTGATAATGTCCTTGACAATAAGAAGGGCCTGCTCCACTTGTTGTACATTTAGAAGTTCCACACTGCGTCGCACTCCCATTATGTTCACACAGGTTTCTTTTTCATTCTTAAATTTAGCGATCAACTTTTCAAGATCTCTCTGTATTGATGCTCCTTCTGACTTCACGAAGTTCATTGTGCTGGATATTACGCTGAAGAGATGCATGGCTGTTTTCAGTTGTTCTGCCACTGGTGGTTTGAGCTTATCGACTGATACTAAAGGGTGAACATCCAGGTGAAACTCATATTCACTGTCATCTGTACCATGACTGAAACCAATCCTCATGTCTGCAAATGTTACAATAAAAAGGAAAAATCATAAGAATGCTTGCACAATTTTAGGCATTTCATTTTCAAGATATCAACACAAATTCTTTCTTCTGTCTGCCCTATGACCTTTTTTTTTTTAGTTTTTAAGGGTTAGCATCGCACATACCAGGAGGAATACTGTCCAAGCAGCGTGTGAGAGGTCGATCAAGATCCAAACCCATAATCTTCTTAAAGTCTTGTTCGGCATCTTTCAACAACTTCCATTCATGCAAAAGCTTATCATAACGAGTGACAATATCCTCTGCTCCAAGTTTACTGAACACTGCATTTGTTTCTAAAATGAAACAAACAAAAAGTAAAGAAATAAACAAACACTTGGAAATATAATTAGTTTCGATCAATTCAATCTTATCAATACACTAACTAGAAAGATTCCAAGTTGATTCTATGTTTGTTGATAGTAATAATAATAATAATAACAATAACAATAATAATAATTCATTTATTTAGTGCTTTTTCTCCAGAGGTAGTGATTTACAGTCCATGGTGTTCAGTCATAAATAGCTACAAGTAGTGTGTGATAACCAAAGTCAGAGAGATAATTCAAACTTTAAAGACTGTATTTCAGCCAAATTTTGCATTTGCTCAACACTTACGTCGATTATTTGCCCATATTAATTTGATCTCTTTGGATGATATAATTCTCTTGTTTGTTTTCTTTAATTCTTTTTCATCACCATCACATGATTCTACCATTTGTCTGGCAAATCTACCAGTGGTGCTGATCAGTTGCTTCCCATCCTGAATATAAAACAATCTGGTTAGGAAATATAAGTAAACATTAAAAAAGACAAAAAAAAAAAAACAATAAAAATAGTGCAGGTTTGAGTGTCTGATGCAAATTGTCTGGGAAAATTGACCAACTTTTAGCAACTAAATTAGTATATCATCCATGGTGAGTAAAGCCCCTACTGAGTTAGGCTCTGTTTGCAAGCAAGGAGGGTAACCCTTGTGCTAGGGTTACCCTAGCAGGCGGGTCAAAGATAGCCCGGGTTTACAAGCAAAATTTCACAGGTAGGGTTACCCTACCACCCGGGACAACTTAACTATGCTTGGTGACCGCACGCATTGTTATCAATGTTCAAAGGGTCTGGAAACAAGTAAAAAGTTGTCCCGGGTAGGCGAGTTATCCCCAGCAGAGCGTTTACAAGGCAGCTAGGGTTACCTTAGCGCTAGGGTTACCTTAGCGCTAGGGTAACCCTAGCTGAGTGCTAGGGTTACCCTAGTGCTAGAGTAACCCTAGCTGCCTTGTAAACACGTCTATGAAAAAAAGAAGAAATGTGGGGGCGTCAGGGTAACCCCCCTGCCAGGGTAACCCTAGCACTAGGGTTACCCTACCTGCTTGTAAACAGGGCCTTAAACAAAAATATGTTCCGGCTGGATGAGCCTCTTCGCATAAGTTCAGACTTCACTTTTTACTCATATCATTTTAAAATCATACCAAGTTTTGTGTATCAACATAGCAAAAGTCAGTTGATGTCTTCCCTTCACTTAGAATGTCTTTTCGGTTCACACAGGGAATTAAACCGTGTAATAATTCAGAGTCGAATTACACTTAATTAAGTTAGAATAGCACTTAATTAGAGCCAGACGCAAACATTGCAACAAAGAAAGAACGCGGAGTCCTATCTGAGATATTTCAAAAGTCATCTTTTCGAAAAGTGCCATATCCTTTATTACAAATGCTTCAGATATAACGAAGCAAATTTACGTAACGAAATGCTTAAAAAAAAAAAACATTTGTTTTTTTCCGTTTCGTGATTGTTCAACTGTGGTTCATGTTTATGTAATAAACACCGTTCTAAAATAAGGTATAAAAAGAAATCACTTACACAAATAAATTGCGCACGTTGAAACTCGTTCAACGAGATTATACAGAATTTGGAGAGGAAACCAAAAATGGTTAACACTGTAATACTAATCATCGAGCTTATTACAAACCCGACTTCAAATGGCCATGGTAAAGAATTATCGAAATAACGTAGTCTCCGCAATCAAACTATATCGAATTTCTCATCGATGGAGATAGCTGAAAATTCGAAATCAGAAGCTTTTTACCTCTTCCACGCCAAATATGTTTCCATAACAGCAAAGGCAGAAGTATTCTCTCATTTTAACTCATTTTAGGTACGAAGTATTCGATCGTTCCCTCCGAATAATGATGGCCACAAAACGCTTCCAAAATTGCGAGCCAAAATCAAAACTAGTACCTAGTTTCCAACGGTAAAAGGTTGCGCCTTGCATCACGCGAGAAAAATAACTCAGTGTCATGCTATCCAATAGGGCTCTTACAAAAGAGAAAAAAAAAGAGTTTGGGCTCCTGATTCGATACGTTTAAAAAAAAAAAAAACCTTGTTGCACTCTGATAATTTTGGTGACAATTGCCTTGTTGTTTTCTTTGTTGATTACCAGCGTCTCAGGCATTTTGAAGCGTAAGTCCATTTTATTTCAAAACAAGACATTTTTTCTCTCTTTTAAGGCAAACCGATAACATCCTTTACAAACCTTCATAAATATAAAACGTTGCGCAACACTGTAAGAGTCACGTCCGCTCTTCGAGTAGTGAGCTTGGGCTGCCTGTTCCCCGAGGAGGAGCGCGGGCTCCGATTCCCGAACAGTGGCTGGTAATCGAGCCTATGGCCAGAGGAGACCGTGATGAAATTCGGTAACCCACTGAATTGAAAGCTATTCACCTATAGACCACTTTCATAAATGGCTGCCGGATTAATATTCTTTTGTTTAAATTGAAATCAGCCTTTCTGGCCTCGTTCTCCAGTACAAAATTCAAAAGAATACATTATCTCAAGCGAGGCCAGAAGGGCTAATTTAAATTTAAACAAAAGAATATTAATCCGGCAGTCATTTATGAAAGTGGTCTATTGGTACCATTATCAAACACGAAATGCATAGTGCGTGCAAAATTATTGGAAAACTTGGTTATATTAAATTATTAGCTGGCTTTCGGGCAGCGTCCTCGTTAGGGATAACCTCCGATGTTTCCTTTTAGCTACTTTTATGTATTTCAATCTGAAATCAAAAATCGTTACTTTTTATATCAGTTAGTTTTTATTGATATGTGTATATATATGATTTATTTTACTCTCTTTTATTTTATTTTATGTTATGCAGGACCCCCGTTGACACCAGTCCTGTGACTGAGGGGGTCACCCTGTTTAAATATCGATTATTATTATTATTATTATTATTATTAATAATAATAATAATAATAATAATAATAATAATAATAATAATAAGCGTATCATACATCAAGATCACCACACTCCAGATGAAGCAAATAACAATGCTGCAAAGTCCCAGGCAAAAGCTAAGAAACGTGAGGCCCTGAAAGAATCTGAAGTGAGGGTAAAGAACATGTTAACACCGACCTCGCTCAAAGTGAAAGAACAAGCATCAGAACGAGGTTCCTCCAGTTGGCTCACTGTCATCCCGTTAAAAGACCTAGGATACGATCTCAATAAAGGAGAATTTAGAGATGCCCTTAAGCTGAGTTATAATTGGGAATTCTCTGACATCCCAAACCGGTGCGTCTGTGGTGACATCTTTGACGTGCATGGACCTGCAGAAATGACCTGCAGAAATGGCGGATTTGTGATACAACGCCACAAGAGACCTGGAGGCGGCACTGCTTAGCACCGTATGTAAAGATGTGGAAATCGAGCCTCCCCTGCAGCAGATTACGGGAGAAATTTTGAATAATGGAGCCAAAACTTCCCAAGATGCTCGTCTTGATATTCTAGCCAGAGGTTTTTGGAGCGAAAGAAGTCTGCATACTTTGATGTCCGGGTATTCCACCCTTATGCTGACTCCTATCGCGAGAAGACATCTGAGCAAGTCTTTAAACAGCACGAAAATGAGAAGAAACGAAAGTATGCCAGTAGAGTATTGAAAATAGAGCAAGGATCCTTTACGCCCCTGATCTTTAGTACCACCGGAGAGATGGGCACTGAATGCAAAATTTACCATAAACGCTAAGCTGAACTCATATCCATTAAGAAATGTGAAACATACTCTACCACTATGTCCTGGATTAGAGCCAAAATCTCTTTTACGCTCTTATGATGCGTCCTCTTATGCTTAAGAGGTACAAGAAAGAAGGGAAGAACGTTTGAGACATTCGATACAGATTTTTTAATTGACAATGCTATAGGCAAATATAGGCTAGACATTTTTAATATTTGTTTTTAAAGTTTTTTTAGAGTAAGAGTGTCATTTCCCTTCTCATATATTTTTTTAATGTAATTTACTTTTATAAGGATAATTTTGATGGACGGTTTTTTGAAATTCTTTCAATACTAACTAGTAGTTGCTTTCGTGTTTTTTATACGTGGGTCGTTTTTGCAATCAAAGTTAGATTGGGTCTGATACGAGTCTGATCCTAGAGAACCGAATTTAACAGATGTGTTCCGTGTCAATTAATTTGGAAATGTACGAGAGGAAAAACCATTACCCACATTGTTATTATTATTATTATTTTATTTGATGTGAACCTCTGATAGCTTTCGCTGTTTGCATAAAAACATATATCCCTCTTTTCTTGTAAAATCTATTTAACGCTGAAGAAGGTATATTTTAGGCCTTTGATCCTACCTCGAGTGTTGGACATAAAAATGAAAGCTTTGGTGTAATATTTCTGCACAACTACAAGAGTTTGGCAGTGTGCCTAGTCCCCGGCACCTTCAGCGCACGGGTAGCAATTAGAGCGGTCGTTGCGTAACAAAACAAATTCACGTGCATGCTTATCTCACGTGGGAAAGTTTGGTAACGGCACATGCAAGGTATAGGTATAGGCATCAGTATGACATAACGATTATGAGGTCAGAAAAAAGATAATAGAAGCCAAGAAAACAAATTTTCCGATAACGCCTCCTGAAGGATGCTTTATCTTACCAACAGGGAGGTTCATCGTGTGTTTCTGTGAGTTAATGCCATCTAAACGAATGGATCCTAAATATTCAAAACAGGGGGGCGGAACCATTAATCCACGGGAGGGACGGTTTCTTATAAAAATATCAGAGAAAACAAAAACGAAAAAGGATAACTGCTCGCTTGAAATATCTTTCCCTTCCCCTTCCCCCCTCCCCTAAATTCGGTCATGATATCTGCGTGGTTGGCACGTGACAGAAGGAGGGGTTATGTTAGCTTCTCAGCCACTGGTCTCGAGCACAAAAAAAAATTTTTGATCGCAAGTTGCATCACCGCAAACTGACACGTGCCGTCACACACTTTGTTCTCCATATAACTAAGCCAAGAATTTCTGCCCACCAGGTTTTGATTTAACTCATTGTACACATTAAAACAGATGCTGAATTTCAGGTTCCCGACCAGACAACCACATCTTATTGTCACAGTGGTAAGTTTTTCAGACAAAAATGCAGCACACAACCACAACAACAACAGAAGTGCTTCTATTTTTGGTAAATTCATGACTGCCTAATTTCTCTCTCGCAATTTCAGTTTGTCGTGGCTGAATGCCAAAGAATCTGTCAACAAAGCTCTTCGGGAGTGGAAATAGGTGTCTAGTTTCGACGCGTGATTCTTAAGAAATTTTTCCCCATTGTTATGAACTTTTGTGTGGTAGACCGGCGTTACTCAAATTGGGAAAGATTTGATAGATAAACCTCGAATGCATTAGAAGCTGAAGTGATAGACTAAAGCGTCAGAATACAATGACACATACACGGTACAAATGTGTAGAGTTTGTTCCTCAAAAACGAGGGGTGTGAGGGTGGAGGATAGCAAACATGACATTTTAAGCTTTTTAATTTTACCTTTGAAGAAAAATGTAACACTTCTGAAAAGAGAAAAATGGCTAGTATGTTTTTTTAGGAGTAAACTTCAAACAGACAAAATAAAAAAAGCACGTTAAAAGGGCTTGGAAAGCTAGTGCGAAAACATTTTCTCTGTATAAGAGTAAGAAGAAATGGATATCTTATGGACAGAAAACGTAAAACAGGTTTGGTTTGAATAAGTGTTTGAAGCAGTTGTCATTTATAGTTTGATTTGAAGATTTCTGCGATGAGGGTCTCATCGAGTAAAGAGGTGAAAATTACTGAAAGGAGAAAAAGGGAATAAAACATTCTAAAAGAGATTAAGAACATCTGATGGTAGATTAGTCTGGAGAAAGATATGGTTTTCAATTCAAAAACTACTTCACTTCTCAACATAGCGTCAGTGTCAAAATCCCCTGGGATGGTGAGGCCGACAGCTAAGTTGAGAGAACCTCACGCTCACGCAAACCTGAAAATCCGGTTATTACTCCAATCTATCCAGTATTAGTAATACCAGTATATATTTTTATAAGAAATTTTCTTTCCACATGCTTTAAGATTCCCATGAAACCTATGAAAACAGGTTGAACAGTTCGAAATAAAATTGATTTACGCTATTTCCTTTTCTATGCTAATTCATATATAGCACTTAGCAAAAGTTTTAATTGAAACAGGGAAATCTTAAGTGGTTGTAAACATGCGTTGAGGGTGCAAAGTTCACCATGGAGAAAAGAGAAGGCAAAATGACCTCCCATTTGATTAAGCGTACCTATTTTTAAGTCATAAACTACTTTGCTAAGGCGGTAACTTAACCAAACCAGTGCAATTTTCCCTCCCCTGATGAAAAACGTTAGTTTCCAGTTGACAAACGCGACATCAGTTTTTAACAAACTTGAAAAATCTTGTACGCTTAGACTCTGTAATCTACTGAAAAACTCCACACATTAAAGGGTAGAGTCAGGGTGACGTTAATTAATGTGCCTGTGCAAGAAATATTAGACGAAAATCAGTTAAGAAAAATACAATGGTAACTTACTTGAAGATTGAAAAAGTTGCATGGATGATTTCTCCTCAGCCAATGTTTCATGGTCGCCGGAAAAGTCAGAAGAGGTAAAACGCTTTCAGTCTTCGTTCTCGGATGATGATTGTACACAGTCTCTGTAAAGTGTCGGCGTAGATTAACTGAAAATGCCTTTCAAGAGCGATATTGGAAATACGAACCTTCGTCTCAAAAGGACAGGTGCTTTCAATGAAATTGGATTAATTTGCAGAATGTATGCGGTATGCTATCACAAACTGTTGGTAGAAGTAAGCATAAGACAAGCAGTGCACGCTTACCGTTGCAGACACTTGTTGGCATGAAGATCTGGTGACTTTAATACTCAGAGTGCATTACATAATTTTATTGACTTTAGTAGGTTAAGCTCACCCCGTGATTTCCAAGGTTAGGATTACGTTCGACTCCCACAGGCCGCCGGCTGTCGAGACATCGAATGTTGGTACATGAACTTACCATTAGGGTCCCCTGGGCGAATTCTAAACATTTCCGGACTTACAGAAGAGATGTTGTCACCTTATATTTTTTCGTTCAAACGAGACATTTCAAGAATTCTCGAGATAGTGTTACATACTTTTTTTACATTAAAAAAAATCGGAAAAATCGGTGACAGGTTTGCAGCGGAGTGCTGTTCGCTCCGTGTACCTTCAAGTACTTTGTACTTAAGATCACTGGAAAAAATCTGCGACTTAAGATTTTGATCCTTTAAAATCCATATACATTTTGTGAATTTTCATTCCAGCAGTAAACGCATTATTTTAGGTAAGAAAATCCTTCTGGTGACAGATCAGTGCGGCAGATAATGTTGCTAAACGATTCAGTCGCAGACAAATTAAGTTCTTAATAAAATTATATCAGTCCAATTCAATGAAATGCGGTTTCAACCACAGACAGTCCAAACTTTCCCTGTTATATTAATTACCCGCTAAATAAACTTTCAAACCAACAGTGAAATACTAAGTTTGCGACGACAGTCACAATAAATCAAAGGTATTTTTCAAGGAGAAACAAAAAAAGCAAAAACAAGAACAAAACAAACTTTTCGAAAACACAGATTTTTCAATAACCAAAGTGTTGAACGAATGGCTTTCCTGACCTCCCCACTTCTTCCCCACCTCCCCTTGTGGGGTGATGATTGGCTCCTCAGACAACCGTTTTGGAAGAAATTGTTTAGACTGGCTGCCCCTTGTTTACATTATGAATTAAATGGATCCTATTTTCTAGAGAAGATTTTCCTCTGCCTATCCGTCTTACAATCCTACATTTCTGTACGCGCACGGGTCCACTTTGTAACAAAATATAATGATAGCCGGGCAAACTTTATTCGAATTTCGGCTTTAAGGAAACACACAATCAAAGCATTGCAAAGAAATACTCTTACCTCCACGTAAATATTATGAAATTTTATTGTATAGTAATGAGACAGGAAATATCTTCAACACATTGGTCCCGGAAGTTTTAATACAAAGCTTTTCAGCCCGTAAAAAAGACTGAAAACTGGGTTGAGAAGGATGCTCTCAGTCAGTAAATTCTGTTTATCAATTAAAACAGGTATTAATTTGTTTGTGCAGCCTGAGAGAGCTCTGAAATAACATGATGTGGAAAACGTCTCCATTTAGGATGAAATAAAGGGCGAAACACAAGTTTTAAGCAATGGAGGTTTTTAAGCCAGCTATATACAACGATATAAGTGTTTGAGAGATGATCACTTCAAAGCCAATAACTATGCAAGATTTTAATCCGAAGTACAGTTTCGTTGTTTACTTTGTTAGGGTTAGTGGCTTGTGCGCTTCTTCTTGTAGTTTGTGATTCACGACTTAAAGCATTTGCCGATAAACGTGAAACTGGAACTCGATGCGTAAATCAGTCGCACACACAGCCAAGAAGGGCGATTGAATGTAAAGAGAGGCTGAGTGAATGCGTGTCAAAATTAAGCTTTCCTCGTTACTTTCAGTTGTCATAACACTGTATAATAACCGAAAATAAGCCAGGGGTCAATTGTAAGGAGTCCAAAAGCGAACGCATTCGCTCGCGGGATGCATCAGGCATACCGGTTATCAGTCTTATAGATGCAATGTCGTCCTCGTTGGTTTTCTTGATATGATTAGTTCTCACTTGCTAATGTGATCAGAATAAAATGCACTGGAATCTTTCCTGATGTCTGATAGGGGCTATTAGTGTCTTACACTTTGTTAATCCAATTTCACTTTCTCCCTGTGAGAGAGGAGAAAACGTCCCATTCTTAGCTCTAACTTATTTCCTGCTGGGTTCGAAGTCAGTCAGTTATTCTTGCCTCCCTCTCCTCAACCCGAAAAGGCTTCTGTGAAAGATTACGTGAGGGGTTTAAAGAGAGAGTTAACGAGGGTGGAATAAACCATATGGAAATATCTTATCTTCGTTACTTGTAAAGCGCATTTTGCTGGACTCCTCCGCCCGCTGGAGACAGTATCCAAGACGAGTCACAAAGTTGATGTTAACGTGTTTAATAATCGCAACATTCACAAGGTCTTCGCACAATAACGGTCAAGCTAACTCTCTCATTCATTTGATTCGAATTGACAACTAAACAGGGTGGGCAGGCTCTTAATAATAATAAGCACGTGCTTCCGTTGTCACGGGTTACATAATTAGGCAATATGTGCCCCAGTCCCCTACACCAACCCGAATTCTCTTTTCCCTTAGTTGCTTTCCCTTTAGCTACCTCTAACAAGCGGTTACCCTTTACTGAGTCCCAACGGCCTGTTTCTATCACCTTCCACCCGAATTGAACGGTCACTTAAAGCAGGACCCCACAAAATAAAACTAAGAATAATCCTTCAAATAAGATTTAATCTATGATTACCTCCCGGAATCAAGGTTTGAAGTATTTTCTCACAAATTTTCTGTACATTAGAGCTATAGAGGTCAGTTATGGGATAAAAATGGCGTCTTTTATAACATGTCTATTCTGTGGAACCTGTACTAGCGGTCACCCTGCCATTCCCCGTGGGTGACCGCTAATACAGATTCGTTTATATTTGTATGTGATCTCGTGCCCAAATCCTTCCATGGCCATTTTCGATATATCAAAACTCTAACATGATTTATAGGCTAGGAGGAATAAAAGAAAAATTATTATTCATCCCTCGACTTCGAAGTGGTTTTTCTTTTTTTCTTTTTTTTTTTTTCTTTTTTTCGTTATTCACCGAGCCTCGAAGCCAAGTTTGAATATTAATACAGCGAAAATAGTCTATTGTAACTGAAAACCGCTTGGCTGTGGAAGGATGGATACTAGACTAATTTGCAATGATATATGAGTTGATTTAAACACAATTCATAAAATAACTGAGGTAGCTTAGCAAAACGTTTGTAAATCCCTGGCCTCCGGCTCTTGATCTACAAATTTTTAGAGCCGTTCTCCCAGCTCTCTCCGCGTGTGTATTTATTACGCCTATAAACTGACAGAAAGTACGGTCTATTGCTTAAATAAGTTCTTCATCTATTATCTTTGTTAAGAGAAAAGAATTGGAGGAATGTCAAAAGCCGCTCGAAACGTCAGAGTTTGAAAAATTCCTTTCGGCGACCACATAATACCGACAACTTGTTTGACGGTCCACTTTTGGGTGTTCAATATCAAAGGCTCTCCAGTCACAGACGTCAATCCCTTTCTTAGAATTTCCGTGGCGCTTAGAATGAATTCGCCGAAATGGGTCTAAACTGAGCAGAAAACTCCAGCTTAAATATGCACCGTTGTCATGACAGAGCTATTTCAAAATACTTTCAGAATCTTCTTGTACCGTGTAAAACTACCTTCGGCTTAGAAGAGAAGCCAAAATATATTAGTTCATAACGATGCAAAAATAAGAAGAAAGTTATATTGTACCAGCGAGAATCGATTCCAGATTCCAAATGGCAAACTTTTGGCGTAACCCATTCAGAGTAAATAGGTGTTCGCAGAAGCACCGGGTCACCCGTTAGCACTTGCACCTGAATACAGTGAAAAATACCGTTTGTGAAAATTATATATTCAAGTACAATGCAGTAATACTTTCAAACTTTCGCCTCCTTGCTTCAGAAATGTTATGATTTTTGAAAATTGTTCCTTGAAACATACTATCTTCTTCTTATCTGAGTAATCTTGGTGACTGGCATCGACAATAGAATTGTTTAACTTTCATTACAAAATCAGAGATTCTTTAAATGAGTAATTTATTGAGTATGCATGGTTGGGTCCTGGTTGAGTTCCTTATTCAAACGCGCCACAACTTTCTTTTAGCGCGCTTGATAGAAGTGTTACGAACCAGAGTGAGTCACGTGGATTATTTACATACCTTTTGTAGTTCCTGTTTTCTTTCGATCTTTTGTTTTGACGTATTCAAAGTTTTCCCGGAAATCGATGCTAAGTACTTTCTCGGAAAACATAGTGACGTTATGGTATTGATTTTGCTTAGCGAAGCATTTGTATATATTCCTTGCCTTCGGCTATTTAAGAATATTCTACCGTCGAAGAAAATTTTGAGCTTTGGTGGAGGAATTATCAGCTTAAAGAAAGCATTTTCATGATCAGAAGCGATCGATTGTTGATCCCTGATTCGATTACTGTTTAATTTTCATTATTTCCTTGCTGACCTACCGTATCTAAGGTAATTCCTTGTTGGTCTGAAGCGCCCCTCATCGTGAAAGGATTTCCAATGTAGGGCTGCATAATGAGACTAGAGCTTTCTCTTATTTCAAATGCACAATAAGTGACACCATGGAAAAGGCTTCCGAAAGTGAAACAAAGGGAGAAGCCGAAGGAAATTTTTCAGCTCGGCCGTACCAAGTGGAGCTCCTAGAACGCGCGAAGGAAAGGAACACCATCGTATGTTTGGGCACCGGAACTGGTAAAACGTTTATAAGTGTCATGCTTATAAAAGAACTCGCTCATGAAGTAAGAGGAAACTATAAAGATGGCGGGCGAAGAACTTTCTTCCTTGTAAATACAGGTATGTACGAGTAGTTCTTATGAGATCGGGGGGAGGGGGAGGGAGGTACGATATCTTGGGGAGGGGGTACGATATCTTGGCGTGGGGTCGAGTCAGGATAACGGAGAGGGGTACTGTGGCGGTTCTTTCAAAAGACCTTCGCACGTTTAAATACAATTCGAGAGAAACAGAACAAATGATCGAAGATCATTCCTTCTTTCTGCCGGATTATGAAATATTGCAACTTTCGTTGCCGGAAACTAAAATATAAGATCAAGAATGTGGTTTAAATTTTTTAATCGCGAGGAGCTAGAGGGTCTATAGGAAATCTGCTTCTTTTGTATCCCACATCTTCTTTCTGTTTTTTTTTTTTTTTTTTTTTTTTTTTTTTTTTTTTTTTTTTTTTTTTTTTTTCAGTTCCACTCGCTAGTCAACAAGCAAAAGCGATCGCTAAACATACAGACTTGAAAGTCAAGCATTACGTTGGAGAAATGGGAGTAGATTTCTGGGACAAGCCAATTTGGGAAAAGGAGTTCAACACATGCAATGTTCTGGTCATGACAGCTCAAATATTTCTCGACTTGCTGTTACATAGCTATATACTTCTTTCACAAGTGAATCTTTTGATCTTTGACGAATGCCACCATGCTAAGAAGAATGATCCTTACAGGCAGATAATGCAGTGCTTCAGCGACTGCCCAGAGCGCCGATTACCCAAAGTTATGGGTTTAACTGCCTCGATAGTTAATGGAAAAGTAAAGCCGTATAGAATTGAATCAGAAATCGTAGAGCTGGAACGCACCTTAAGATCTACTTGCGAAACAAGTCAAGATGAAGACGTGGTAAGATATGCTGCTAAACCCGAGGAACTGATTCTTGTTTACCCAAACCAGAGTACTGACGAAAATGTGAAAACTCTGATTCAAATCCTGTCAGATGTCTTAAAACCAGGAATTAGTTTTCTCTGCGACTGTCGGGTGAGTCAGCGAGAGAATGAGAATGCACACTGGTATGCTAAGTTCGCTCTGAGGGAATGTAAAGAGACGTTGGATGAACTGGGGCCTTGGGCTGCATTCAGAGTGGCACAATACTTAATTGATGATCTAGGTATGGTACAGTTTCAGTTCTAGAGATCATTGTGACTGTGCCCCCCCACCTGCGGGGGGGAGGTACTTGACCCATCTGTAGGTGTGAAGGTGCTGCCAAGCGTTTGAAATCCTGACTCAGTAGGACAAAAATACTCAAAAACTCTACCCAGTGTAGGACAACACCCTCTATTTTTAAGACCCTTTCCAGGACAAAGAGACAAAATACACACTCCCTAGTTATTTATTATTTCTATCACCATGTTATCCATTACAAAGAAACTAGACCTACTGATACAATCTATTCTGTCAACGTTCAGTTGCTATAATTACTGATAAACAGAAAAATAATTAAAATTGAAGGGTACAGACAAAAACAGCATTCTCGTTCAGAAAATGATCTGATGTTGATTGATGACCTTTTATTATATAGCTGTGTCGCACAAGGACTGGGAACTACCAAATTCATGAATTTGATTGGCTGAAATTAATATTGAAAGCGGTCTAGATTTTCCCATCTAGACTGGCATCTAGACCGCTTTCAAAAAAAAAAGGTACACAGAATATAAAAAATTGGCATATAAGACACAGCCATATAATAAACATATTAACCGAGCTAGGTTAGTCTGTATGGGAGAATCTTCACCTCGATCGCTGGTTCAGACCTCACTGCTTTTGGTCTGTACTGGTGACCTCAGTCAAGATTCTCCCATAAGGACCTCCCGCTCGGTTAATAAGAACTAAGTAATGACCGGTTAAGGTCTCTTGGCGTGTAATACCATACCCTATTGACAACAGGTTCTGACCCTGTTAAGAACAGAAGCGAATAAACTTGCATACCATGTTCAGGACAGCCAGGCCAAATGACCATACCCTGTCTAGCAGCCCACTTCCATTATAATTTGGATATATCAACAAAGTTGAAATGGTAAATTGGCCACCGTAAGGATTACATAAGCTGACCTTTCGAGCTTTAGCCCTTTGACGGAGCGAATAGATGTATTGAGGGTTGTGTGTGCTTTTAAAGGCAGAAAATCAGCCTTTATTCATTTCCATTATACCCCAAATAATGGAGTACCCTGACCCCCTGGGCTGTGCCCCAAGTTCAAGATTTTTAAAAATCATAGTAAGGTCAACATAAACCAAATATTAGTTTCCAAAAAATAGGAAACAATCCCATACCTCTGCTTCCAAAATTTTTGACAGTATAGGATTTTTTTTTTTAATTTTGCTTTTACTCTTTCCACCTTAACATCAAATTACATATATATTCTCCATACTGTTGTTTATATATTTCCTGAGGTGCTGACAAGGAGAACTTATTTAACAATCAAGAGCCTTTTTTAGTTGGTGATCATTTCGTTTATTATTCTTGGAAACTAAATGATTGATTCAGGGGGTGATGTTGGAGGAAGAAATTGGATGCCAACCACATCGAAGGTCAAAGAATTAGCCCTCCATAAACAGATATTTCTTAAACATTGATTAAAAAAAATTCAAAGTATACCAAGACTAAACTATTCCAATTAAGGTAAAATTAACCATGGCATTGAGGTTCCTTTGATCAACTGGAATAGAATGTACTTAAAAACCTGAGTCTTTTCTTTTAGACAGAGCATGTAGGGTTCAAAGCAGCAAAGAAGGACGAATGTTTTGCGAGTTTAGTGCCACCCAGCTGCGTCAACTACGAGGCATTTACTGTAATTTTACTGAAAGTGATGGCTCTGAAGACAGTGGACATTGTTCTTTCATGCCAAAACTTCAGAAGCTTTTGAATGTTTTCAGGGAGTTTGCTGATTCACAACAGTATGAAGGTAAGGAATACTCTGTTGACTAACTGTACTTTACTTTTATGAAACTGAAGTTTTATATCCTTAGTGTAAACAAAGACAGAAGATCAGCAAAATGGAATATTTTGACATTTCTCATTCGGATTTGACCCTGTCTACTAAGATCTCAATTTCAGTTCTCGTGATTGTGCCAAGACCTTCCTAAAATTTAACGCTGAGACTTTGTGTGAAATCTCAAAACATCTCTCTTTTCAGCTCCTTTATATTTCGAATTGAATCATTATTGTGAAGAGAAATTTGTTTTGGTTCACTACTAGCTGCAAGCAGTTAAGTGGAATCCTCTCAAATAGCAATGGCATAACATCCATAGTAACAACAGTAATAATGAAACCAATTACAGTAATTCTAGTGAAAATGATAATGATGATAATATAAACTGTAATAATGTTTCAGAGAAATAAAGTTGAGAGGAAATTTTAAATTTTTGTAGCTATCTCCTCATTCAATCAAGAAACAGCTTTTGGTTGAGGAACAAATCACCAGGGAAAAATGACCAAACATGACTATCTGCTAGCCAGCTTCACCTTGGGAAGATTTAGCCAATTGCTTAATACCGTTATTATAATAATCATTATAATGAACAACCAGGTTTATACATTTTTTTTCTTGATCCCCACACACTCAGAAACCAGCTTTTAAATTAGCTTTTTCTTGAAATCTGTTTAGTGAATTCAAAGGTCAAGAGTGACATCTGCCATGCCACTCTGTAAAACAACTTGGTGATTCTCACTTTGGTTATTTTTCAGCATCTGACAAGGAGAAGACACTCTGTGCCATTGTGTTTGTTGAGAGACGATACACTGCACTAATCCTCAGCCAACAGCTTAACATGGCTGCCAAACTTGACCGTGAGCTCTCGTTCATCAAAAGTAATTTTGTGATTGGTCACGGCACAGGTGCAAGAGTGAACTACTCCAGTAACACAGACATGAATTTTAAGAAACAGGAAGAAGTGCTGGGGAGGTTCAGAAATGAGAAGAAAAGACATGAATTCAATGTGCTGATAGCCACCTCTGTTGTTGAGGAAGGATTAGACATCCCCAAATGTAATGTAGTCTGCAGGTTCGATTTCCCAAAGAAGTATCGTTCCTATGTACAGTCCAAGGGCAGAGCTCGTGCTAAAGGTTCCAGGTACTACATGCTGGTAGATGAAATTGAGCAAGTGGAAAAAAGAAATGAATTGGAGGTATGGTATTTTAAGTAGTAAAGTCAGTAAAAACCCATGCCTTTTCTGTTGATGGTCATTGACATTTCCATAAGGTTAAATTTTAACCTTTGGTGAAATTATTATTCATTCATTTATTTGCAATATTTAGACAGGCTGGTCCAGTTCAGCTTTAAAGCTGGTTTAAATGGAGGCCTGAATAAACAATAACAAGGCCAGACCACAACTTTGGGAGCTGCATTCCCTACACGTTGTCATAAGTCTGTAGGTTCTTTAACACTCCCTGCTGACATATACAGTAAAGATGCAGGAGAGAAGTCCTATGGTTTTCGTCCTTATCTGAAAAGAGTAGGTTTGTCTAACCATTAATTTTCCAGATGTCAAAGCATAAGGCAGCACATCATCAGGCTCCTAAGTTATGTTAGGACCATGAGTGTTGGTCTAGTCTTGAACCTTGAGGTTTGAACCTTCGACCTCTTGCACAACAGTCCTGTGCTCCACAACCTGAGTGAGAACCTTTTATAAAATATTCATTCTTAGGGAGCTTATTAAAAACGATTCATTCCCCAGATGCTGCGTGCAATTGAGGAAATCTTATTGGAGAGGTGCCATGGTCGGTTGGAGCCAACAGAAGAGGAGTGTAATGAATCAGTAGACACAGATCCATTGCCTCCATACATACCACGCAATGGAAAGGGAGCCAGAGTAACCATGAGCAGTAGCGTTTCTTTACTTTCCATGTAAGTGCAAGGAATTCATTAACCCCTTAACCCCTAAGTGACTAGCTTCTAATTTCTCCATACGGCATCAGCCCAAAATCACATTAAGGTCAAAAGAATAATGGAAATGATCATCAACTACAGAAGCTGTTGATTGTAAAGCAAATTCTCCTTGTCAGCTCCTTAGGAAATGTATAGAGAACGGTAAGGAGAATATGCATACTGATGTTGGGGTATAAAGGGTCAACTTTGAATTGTGATGTACTTGTCTATTATTGGACGATGTGGTTGTAAAAAACAGGAAGGCCTGTTATTTATGGGGCAGGGCTGTGGTCTAACAGTGCCGAGTGCCCACTGGCACCTTACTTTTGCACTTGGGAAACTCAGGAATCTTAGTTTTTTCATAAAAAGCATATGCTGGGCACCCTGGATTTCACAGTTTCAGAGCACTGGGCTCCCTTCAGCCTTGATGGGGTAGCAAACTTCGGTTCCTATTGTGTTGCAGAGCAGTTTGCTTGCTTCCCGAAAAAACTCAAGATCACCTAAAAACTGATATGTTTGTTGACACCTTAGCAGGGTTCTCCTTTTAAGGCAATAAGTGGTAAAATTTACCGTTTGTAGTACCATTACTAAGAATTCATCACTTGGAATTACTGTACTGGTTGATTTCTTTAACCCGTCAAGCTTAGAATTAAGAGAACACTGCCTCTTTAAAAGTTCTCATAATACATTTACATAAAAGTCATGCTCTTTTAAATTTTAACTCAGGAGTGTTGAATATTCTTATACTTAGTACAGAGATGACTAAAAACTTTTTATAAGCATTGAAAAACTGGAATTATATCGATGTTTTTACTTTTGTCTTTTCAGGTACTGTTCAAAGCTTCCAAGAGACCGGTTTACAGCGCCCAAGCCTGTTTACAAGGTTGAGGAAATTGGGAAAGATGTTTACTGGTGTAAACTAACACTGCCAATAAACTGTCAACTGCGTGAAGACATAATAGTGAGTCAGAAAGATTTACCTTTTCTGAATTAAAAAGAAAATCCTTGCCACAACAATTTGCTTGTTTTCACAGACTGTAGTTCGCATCAGGTAGTGATAATGTTACCCTCTGCTCTGAAATTTCTTCTCTTCTACATTGGTCTGGGTTTCATGATGCTTAATCCAAAACTGCTCTAATTCCCTGAGCTGAGTTACCAGGAAAAGCACAGTAGTTTAAAACGAGAATTTGGTTTTATCAACTAAGTTGAAATTGTAAATTGGCCACCGTAAAGAGTTTAAAAGCTGACGTTTCGAGCGTTAGCCCTTCGTCAGAGCGAATGGCGATTCCATCGCATCGAAATCGAACTCGCGCTACGCACTCGTTCGATTTTGAAATCACGCGTATGATTTCAGCCCAAATTGCACTGCACTCGTGGTCACTTACATTTGCATGACTGCTTTCTGTATTTCAATAGGGTGAACCAATGCTGAGTAAGAATCAAGCCAAGATGGCTGCTGCGCTCAAAGCCTGGAAAATGCTTCACAAGATTGGTGAGCTCGATGATGACTTGTTACCAAAGCGGACTGTATCTGACGAGGAAAGTGAGTTGGAAGAAAATGCAGCAGCTGAGTCAGGCGGAAAACCAAAAGCTGGAACAAAGAAGAGAAGACGAAGATATAAGAGAAAGGTAAGCAGTTGAATTTCACAATTTTAGCCTGTGATTCACTCTAAATCATTATATTGTTAACAAAAGCGCGGACGATGTCTATGCATACATTTGACCAGTCAACTCAGAGGTGTGCCAGTCCCTGAATAATAATTTTTTTAACAAATAATCGGCTAACACAGCAGTCAAACGTCGGGTATGCACTAAAGGATCGATTCTGGTCGACTGCGCGCCAACTTCCCGCGAAAAAATTCAAAGGGAAACGTCAGAAAAAAACCGCTGTACACTGTAACACCGTGCGTAACCTCGCGAGCAGGGCGGGAAAATCCCTAAGGCCATGCGTGCGGCCTCGCGAGATGCAAGATGAAATAAAAGAGAAAGAAGCTGTGAGAGCGGCGGTCATTTAATGAAACGTTTATCGACTGTTTCAGATTGGGCCGAACGAGAAAAAGTATGGATCTAGGTCATGACTTAAGGACTTCGCTGCGCTCGATTCCCGTTTGGCCTTTCAACTCAGTCAATAATTAGTTCTTATTAACCGAGCGGGAGGTCTGTATGGGAGAGTCTTGACTGAGGTCGCCAGTACAGACCGAACTGCGTTCGGTCTGTACCAGCGACCGAGGTCAAGATTCTCCCATACACACCGATTTAGCTCGTTTAATAAGATGTTTATTATATGGCTGTGTCTATATGCCAATTTTTTATATTCTTTGTACCTTTTTTTTCTAGACTGGTCTAGATGCCGGTCTAGATGAGAAAATCTAGACTGCTTTCAATATTGATTTCAGCCAATCAAATTCGTGAATTCGGTAGTTCCCAGTCCTTGTGAGACACAGCCATTTAAACACATAACATTGCACACCAGTTACTCCAAAGATATCAGAGGGACTGGCCTTGGGTATACAGCTTATTTTCTGTAGCCCTGGTTGTAAAGCATTCGACCTTGAATCCTCACGTTGAATCTAGGTTTCTCCTTCGCTTCACGCTCTTGACGAATATTTACACTATACTTTCTTTATGTGATGTTTTGTTCTTGCCCAGGTTCCTGAAGTATTTGTTGGTAGCTTGGTACAAGATGGTCAGCCCCAGTTCCTCACGACCATCACCATACAAGTTACTAAACTTACCCAGCCACAAGAGTTCGTTATAAGTGAGCGACTGTTTCCCGGTAAAACTTGCACATTTGGAATGCTGACAAATAAAAGGGTTCCTTGGGTTAGTACTTGATTAATAATACTTCATTTGCTATAAGCTAACCGGCGAATTCCGTACATTAGAGCAATTTTCAATCCATTGTCGAAAGTAACCCGAGATCGTATTTCTTTACTTCGCNGGTCTGTACCAGCGACCGAGGTCAAGATTCTCCCATACACACCGATTTAGCTCGGTTAATAAGATGTTTATTGTATGGCTGTGTCTATATGCCAATTTTTTATATTCTTTGTACCTTTTTTTTCTAGACCGGTCTAGATACCGGTCTAGATGGGAAAATCTAGACCGCTTTCAATATTGATTTCAGCCAATCAAATTCGTGAATTCGGTAGTTCCCAGTCCTTGTGAGACACAGCCATTTAAACACATAACATTGCACACCAGTTACTCCAAAGATATCAGAGGGACTGGCCTTAGGTATACAGCTTATTTTCTGTAGCCCTGGTTGTAAAGCATTCGACTTTGAATCCTCACTTTGAATCTAGGTTTCTCCTTCGCTTCACGTTCTTGACGAATATTTACACTATACTTTCTTTACGTGATGTTTTGTTCTTGTCCAGGTTCCTGAAGTATTTGTTGGTAGCTTGGTACAAGATGGTCAGCCCCAGTTCCTCACGACCATCACCATACAAGTTACTAAACTTACCCAGCCACAAGAGTTCGTTATAAGTGAGCGACTGTTTCCCGGTAAAACTTGCACATTTGGAATGCTGACAAATAAAAGGGTTCCTTGGGTTAGTACTTGATTAATAATACTTCATTTGCTATAAGCTAACCGGCGAATTCCGTACATTAGAGCAATTTTCAATCCATTGTCGAAAGTAACCCGAGATCGTATTTCTTTACTTCGCAGTGTGATTGGTTAAGAAAACGTGCGCCAGTCTTTCAACCAATCAGCTTCAAAACTGAAACCAGTCATGACTTGGTTACCCGCGTTTTCCCGCGCTTTAGGCGGTTTGTTTTTTTATCCTTTGAGTTCTTATTGGCTCTTAAACAAGAGAATATTCTCTTGCTCTTAATGGTATTTTCCTCTTTTTATTCGATTACCCGTCAGGATTACTTTTTTTGTATTAGTTTTACGACATTTAATCGAAAATCGCTCTATCATTTAAATGATTGTAGAGATGCCCTTGTTCTGACTGGTTCACAATGGCAGCGTATACCACTTTACCAAAACCAATATCACGGACTGCGCAGTTTCAAACAGCAACGATTCCTGCTATGTTGGCCACTGAGAGTGCGTAGTAACAAGCAGTTAGTTTGCGTGGCAGGCCGGTAAAACTGAGTACACATTCAGCCCTTCGTTAAATTGCAGTTATATGGTTCCACTGCTAATAAACTACAGTTGTTCCCCTGCATCTTACAATGCAATTTTTTTCACTCCTCAGATACGGTCGTTCAAACTTTATCCTAACTATGGCGAAGTCACAGTATCCTTGCATTGTCACAGATCTCCTTTGCGTACTAACAACACCAAACAAGACTTGGACGTTCTTCGCGAGTTTCATCTCTTTCTCTTCCGTCACGTTCTGCGCTCTCCCGTGGAATTCACACCAGAAAGTAGGGATGGTTACTTCATTGTTATGTTGAGGGCTTCTGGAAGGAGTGTTGACTTTGATGACATGAAAGAGGAACTTTAGCGCGCACGCAAACAAAGCCGTGGAAATGTGCCTATCTTCGTAGACGCACTGGTAACCAAAAACTATGTTGAATCTCCACAAAAGTACGCTGTTTTGAATATTCGTGGCGATCTGAATCCGATGTCTCCCTTCCCGGAAAAGTCGGAGTGGCACACTTATGAAGAATATTTTCGCCTTAAATACCGATAAATGGGACGCATTGCCTACAACAATCAACCTCTGGTTGAAGAGAAAGAGTTATCCGGTAGACTGAATTTTCTGGTGGACCGAAAAGTAAAAACAAAAAACAAGCGCCGAGTGATTTGTCTTGTTCCAGAATTGTGTAACCAGATTCCCATTCGAGCTTCTCTTCTTAGCGTGTCACAGATTCTACCATCAGTTCTTCAGCGTGTCACCTCCCTCCTTCTCGTTGCCGATCTCAAGGCCATGGTTGCTGGTGTATGCGACCCAACAGATGAATCAATTCTCTCTCCCATTGAAGCTGAAGAAGGCTCAAGAGAATAGACCATGGAAGTTGAAGACAATGCTCTGGACTTTGTAAACGACGATGATGCGCTTTTCTCTGACATCAGGTCGATGTTCCGTTACAGTTCATCATGTGCTAAACACCCCGACTCCTTTCTTGTTCTTCAAGCAGTTACCACCACCCATAGCGGAGATGCGTTTAATCTGGAGAGGCTAGAGATGCTGGGAGACTCATTTCTGAAGCTGGCCGTGTCCCTTCATCTCTTCTGCACGTACAGCGATAAAGACGAAGGTAAGCTGACCCGGCGTAAGACAAACCAGATCAGTAATTTAGCGTTGTACCGAGCAGCCGCTAAGAAATCTTTGGGCGAGTATCTTCAGAGCACTCAGTTGGCTCGCGACGTTTGGTGTCCAACGGGATGTCAGTTTGGCGACGTACCACCAAATCGCACCACAGGTAGCTCAGCCATGGAAGTTGACAGCGGGGACACGGTCGAGGCAATGGAAGTTGATGAGACGTGTGAGAGTGGAAAGAAGAGAAAACTTACTCCTACAGAGAATTTGCGCCAGAAATGTAACACGCAAATGATAGCGGACAAGTCCGTAGCAGACTGCGTCGAAGGACTGATCGGAGCGTATCTAATTTCCTGTGGTTATCTTGGTGCACTGCGATTCATGAAGTTTCTAGGGCTAAAAATTTTACCTGAAGTTGATTCCGACGACGGCATTGATTCGTTGGCAGAGAATAGCAAATCGGGTTGCTATGCCAGATTTTGGCCGGATCAGACAAATGTAACAGCAACGCAAGGTAAAGGAGATATGGTTTCCCGTCTCACTTCTGGCCTGGAAAACTTTGAAAATAAAGCAATCTCGTACAATTTTCACCAAAAGTTGTATTTGGTTGAAGCTCTAACTCACGCCTCGTACCACGAAAACCGTGTCACACCAAGTTATGAACGACTCGAGTTCCTTGGCGATGCTTTGCTGGACTTTTTGGTCACGCAACATTTGTACTTCCGTCGTGTCAACTTGTCACCCGGACAACTGACTGATATTCGACAGGCCTTGGTGAACAATAACATCTTTGCCACCCTTGCCGTGGAACATGATTACCACAAGTTTCTCAAGCATATGTCTCCCAAGTGGTTCCAAACTGTGAAGAACTTTATTGATAGAGTGGAAGATGAGGCAGAAGAGAGGAAACACAATCGCCCTCAAACGGTAGGGTGAACTTCATTCTGCAACCGTTTACACCCTAACATCAGTTTGTTTACTTTCCATACTATTCTTAATATATTTCCTAAGTTGCTTACAAGGAGAATTTGCCTCTGTGGTTGGTGATCATTCCTGTATTCTCGTGACCCTAACCTGTAAATCAGGGTGATATTGTAAGAAGACGTTAGATGATAATTACTCTCAGGGACCATAGGGTTAAAGATTATTTTCTCCGCCAAATTATCATTTTCAGTTGATTTCTTAAGAGTATCATTCATTTATCAGGTCACTGCTGACCCATTTATTATCGTGTCTGAAGAAGAAGAAGAAGGAATCGAGGCGCCTAAAGTTCTTGGTGACATATTTGAATCAGTAGCAGGCGCGATATTTTTGGACAGCGGTATGGATTTGACTAAAACGTGGGGCGTGTACTACCGCATGATGAAACCCTACATCGGTAAGTTTGCCATCTTCACCCGCGAGGGTAGAGTTGGGAGAGTAACAAGAGTCTTACACTTATCATTACGAGGACCCTACTTGGGAAAAACCCTGCCAGTAAAGAACTCAGAACTTTTTCTCGCTATAAGTTGACAAATGAGTTAGGATGAGTCAACGAAAGCCTTCTTCAACATCGAGTTAAAGCATTCAGCCCAGGCTATCAAAAATGTAAAGGAACGCTGTTTGATAGCCAACCTAGAGAAAAAAAAGAACACTAAAAAAATTGATTAATTTGATGTTTTCGATTCAGATCATTACTCGGTGAATATACCGCGAAATCCCATCAGACATGTCTACGAGGAAGACGAGAGGGCCGACTTTGGGTGAGTTTGAAGTTCAAGTTTAAAATATTTGATAGTTGGTTGACTCTCATTGTATACGTCTCTGGTTGACTGAGCTAAAGATGAAAATAATTGTAGTGCGTAATAGACTACATTCTTTCCAAGAGCGATATTTATAAATAGTGTGAGCAGTTCTAAAAAAAAGTAGTTCGTAAAGGTGTGGCCTAGTGTGGCAGACCTTTCCAAAATCAAGGGCCCGTGCACGTGTACAGTGTCAGAATTACCTTGAAATGACGGAAAATAAAACTATTCGGCGTGAACGAAGGGTGAAAAGTAGTGTGGTGGAACAAGAAATTGTCAAAATTTTCTCTCGACATTTGGAGATGTTGAGGAAGATTACACAGAAATGTGGTAGCGGTGCGGTAAAATTTGCCAGATCGCATAATCTCAATAACTCCCACGAAAAAGTTCACTCGTGCGCTTAAGATCTGCACACCAGTCAGTAAAGCTTAGAAAACCGCAAATTACAATTCGCACCCGAGAGTGGCCACATGTGGTTTACGTTACGCCATGCTTCTTATATCTCACGCGTTTAGAGCGAGTAAGAGAAGCCTTGTCTACTAGCTATCACACTATAGGTTATTCTGATGTTCATGTGTCTGTTTTCTCCAGGAAAGCGAAGACCCTTGATGATGGGAAGATCCAGTGTACTCTGAGAGTGCACTGGGGAGAGTTCAATGGAAAGGGAACGAACATGAAGATAGCTAAAGCTACAGCTGCCAAGCTTGCCATTGAAAGACTGGAAAAGAAATCTTTACAAGAGCACTCCGCGGTATACGAAGAAGATTGAGTTTCAGTGCGGGCTTCGAGGACATCAATGTTGTTGTTAAGGGTGCTTTCTTTGATTTTAGTTGTCCTAGAGAATGCTGCGGAACGCCATTTATGGGAAGTAAATTTCTTATGTTCTAGTGCTTATTATTGTATATTATTTTCCGCAACATATGAAATTAAATTTCTGACATGAACATCCTTCTCTGGGAGCTACGTTTATGTAGACGATGTGCTATAAATGAATGGGCATCATTTAAGATTACTCTATTTTAAAAGTTTCTCTAAAGTACTGCGATTGACTTTCTCAGACATCGATAGTGGACGAGACATTTGCATTGTAAATACGGCTTTAAAATATTTTTATGTACTTTTATCTTTTAAATGACTCTGTATTTTAAGAGTGGGTGTCACGGAGTTATCGCTGACAAAAAGAGAGAAAAACGCAGTTATGCAAAACAACAGTAAATCAAACCGAAAAAAAAATACAGAAAACTCTGACAGCAATAACGGTGAAAGTGGTGAAAGTTTACCGTAACATGGTGTTTAGGTATATGAGTTTTGAATATATAATAGGGACCTTAAGCAGTCAGGACGGCAACGCCAAGGAAGACTTCGATTAAAAATGAATTTCTACTCTTAGTTAGAATTTCAAAAATAGCTGCATGAGCTTATTGTCTCATACGGCGCCACAGCTCAACTTCAGTAGGACGTATAAAAGTAGCGTTGAGTTTCAACTGGAAATTAAAATATTTGCCGTCGTGGTTTCGGCTCGCTGATGACGCAAATTTTGGCGATTTCACGTTGTTGTTTTACATAGGACGGCTAAGAAATGTACAAAGTTTCAAAATGCACGTGCTGAGCTATTGTTCTGCCAATTAGATCTCTTGTTTTTCCACGTCCTCGTTGCCGTCGCAGTCGTGGTTTCTTAAGGTCTCTAATTACAATATTGAACGGTGATTACTATGTCACCCTGAATCCAACACACCCTTTAATTTCCGCGCAGTCTTATAAACCTTCCAAAGCACTGAAGTGCTCGAGAGTTAATTACCAAATCTATAAATGTTACACACAATGATTTTTCGTATTTTAAATGCGCTGATGTCAGCTTTATTTATTTATTTGTTTGAATAATAATCTCGATGTTTTCGGAAAACAAGGAAAGTCTATTTTGTTATCGTTCCTCATCATGCAATGTACATGATTTTGACTTTCAACATCTCACTTTTTGACTAGGGTTTTACGGTCCGACATGTCATGAGAATGAAATAAACCAGCGTTGTGAATGAAAGGACACGTTTTGCATCGTGCACGAGCGCATTTGAAAGTGCCTGGTTGGTCATTAGTCTGAAAAGAACTTCTGATCAAAAAATTGCCTATGTTTTTGTCGCGTTTGAATGAAATGAGCGGAGGCTGCGAAAAGATAGTGCTTGTCTCTGGATCGTTTTGAAGTAATTTAAAGTTTTTAAGAATGATGGATTTAACTGAGTGGTTGTGAGGGTGAAACGTGAGAGTGAATGGAATGCGGTCGGAATCTTCCTTATGCGACGTTTGTAGTGCTGAATGTCGATCAATAAGTTGGGCGCGGTGGTAACCCGCTTGAACGACAGAAACAGGGTAACCACGTTTATCGAAAAACTGGCACATTGACTCTGATTTGTGGTGGAAATCAGAGTCATCACTACATAAACGACGAAGTCTTAGAAACTGAGAAAAAGGAATGGAATTCTTAACGTGAGATGGATGCGAAGACGAATATAACAAGTAATTATGCGAGTCTGTAGGTTTGTAATACACACTAGTGCATAAACCGTTACCTTCAATTGAAACTTTGATGTCTAAAAAGGATAAAGAATTGTCAGAAATTTCCCA